GCTGGGCATGAACAGGCACCCAGGTCAGGGTCATCTGTGAATTTGAACTCCATCAGGTTGTGAAAATGAGTGTAAGTCTCGGTAACAGTTCCCAGAAAAACAAGATGGTCTCAAATGGAAAAAGACATTTCACACCGTTGGGACAGGCGGTGAAAGTTGACGTGGGACTATGGGTTAGATTATAATGTGGAAACCAAAATGATTTCCTGGGACAGCAACTTATTCTGGATAAAACACACTGCAGTACTTTATGTGAAATGGTGAATGTGGTAAAGCAATGACGGCTGCGGAATGAGTGCAGAGAAAAGTACATATCTGGCCCTAACAGGTTTGGCTCAGTGGATAGAGCCTCGGCCTGTGGACTGAAGGGTCCCAGGTTTGATTCCGGTCAAGGGCATGTACCTTGGTTGTGGGCATATCACCAGTAGGAGGTGTGCAGGAGGCAGCTGATCAATGTTTCTCTCTCATCAATGTTTTTAACTCTCTCCCTTCCTCTCTAAAAAAAAAAAATCAATAAAATATATATTTTTTTAAAAAAGAAAAGTACATATCTGTACTGCTATTGAAACTTCTCTTTTTAATCCTCACCCATGAATATGTGGTGTGTTTTTTGTTTTTTGTTTTTAAAGAGAGAAAGAGAGAGAGAGAGAGAGAGAGAGAGAGAGAGAGAGAGAGAGAGATCAATTGGTTGCCTCCTGACCAGAATTGAACCCATACCTTTTGCTGTACAGGACAATGCTCCCACTAAATGAGCCTCCTGGCCAGGACCTTTTCTAGACTTTTAAAATTACCGGAAAGTAAATCAATATTCAAAACACCTGTGTCAATACCAAGCCAGAGAAACAGAGAAGAGCCAAGTTTGTTACAAAGGCCAAGTCCTATGCAGACCCAGTTCACCCAACGTGGTGAAGCTGATCCCCCACGTAGCAGTCCACAGGCCAGGAAGAGGCATTATGGGAGATTACATTCGTAGCCACTATGCCTTGGGTATCACATGCCCTGGGATGCGGTAGGCACAGCAGAATTTTTTAATTCCCATTTTCCACATCCAAAAAGCTGTTTGTTTGCAGAATCCAAAATCCAGTACATTTGCAGAATACAAAACCAACGTACCCACATCAGCTGTGTTTCTATACACTAACAATGGACCACCAGGAAGAAAATAAGAAAACAAACCCACTTACAACTGTATTAAAAAGACCAAAATAACTAGAAATGAATTTAGCTAAGGAGGCAAAAGACTCATACACTGAAAACTGCAAGACACTTACAAAAGAAATGGAAGACACAGATGAATAGAAAGATATCCCATGCTCATAGATTAGAAGAATATTGTTAAAATGCCCATATTACCCACAGGGATCCTCAGAGTTAAGGATCAAAATCCCAATGGCATTTTCACAGAAATAGAACCAACATTCCTAACATTTTTTGAAACAAAAAAAATAGCCAAAGCACTCTTGAAAAAGAAAAACACGGGAGGCATCAGGATCCCTGACTTCCAGCTACATCACAAACTACAACCCAGACAGGCTGGCACTGGCACCAACACAGACACGGGGCAATGGGAGCAGGACAGGGCCCTGAGCCTTCATCAACAGCGGTGGTGACCACGGACAGCCACACACAACCAACACGCTGGCCACTCCACACAGAAACATAAGCAACTGAAATAAAAACAAAATTAACAAAGAGAAAGAAGGGGGGAAAAATAAAAAAAATAAACAACTCTCCTCTGTAGCAGTCTCCAGGGCGGGTGCTGAGGAAAACCAAGCGTCCTCTGCACAGACTCGGATCCACACTGTCCACCCTCTTTGCCCGGAAGGTCCGGAGGCGTTGCCTGTGCATCCTGAGGGCATGGAGCTCCGCCTCCTGCCGGGAGGAGGCACGGAGCGGTGGGGACACGCATGCGCCAGCGGGGGCTTCAGCGTGGGCTCAGCTGGCAGCACAGGAGGCAAGTCTGTGGAGGCCACGCCCCCTTGAGGCAATCCAGCTGAATCCATTAAATTTGGGAAATTCAAGCTAAATAAAGTCATACATCTCATGACCTCCCAAAACACATGAAGTATAATTAACGGGATGAAACGCATGTGGACGCAAACTTTACAACATACGCCAAAATGCACTCGAAACTATCCTTTCCTCCCTAGACTAGGTAACATCTAGGCCTCAGCTGTACTTCAGCTCCAGGCCCAGGCAAGCACCACCAGCCAAGGCTGCCCTCGGGCCCAGCTGCATGGAATAATGACCTGCTGTCCTGGTGCGGCCAATCCACCAATGGAGACCACAGAATGGCCACACCTGGAAAACACTCTCAGTACCCTCAGCAGAGGGCCCTGTGTGCTCTCCCTCCTCCTGGCACACATCTGCTTCCCCTTTCCCCTCCCTGTCCCAGGCACGTTACCATTAGCTTCCTCACCCCCACGCTCCAAGGGGCCCTTCCTTTACCTCTGTAACTTATTTCCTAAGCCCATCTCTTTTAGGAATTCCTTCTTCTACCTCTGTGACTTCCCAAGTAAATGTTCTCTTATAGTTTGGGGTCTTGGCTCTGAATTCTTTCCTCGTACCGAGGTTGCTGAACCCAGGTTTGGTCTGACCCCTTGGGCCAGACACCTGGAGCTGCTCTGACCGCTGGCAACATTTTCCATGGAGAAGGCCCCAACTTAAATCCGCATTAACCACCACCCTCTTGTTCACAGTTCTGCCGGACAACCTGCCTTAAATCGCTTCCCCCTACACCAACATCTTTCTTCTGTTTTTAGCTCAAGATGGTATCTAAGGGAGCTACTCAGTTTTTCTGCCTTTCACGTATAAGGGAGATAAACAGGGTTTTCTCCTGTTAACCTGTCTTTATTACAGGGGAGTCTCAGCCAACCTGGCAGAGAGAAATTACTTTCCATCCGCTACACAAGCAGCACAGTGCAAAACAGAAAGGAATGAACCTCCACCTGGGGAAGGAAAGGGGGTTCCACCCAAGGGAAGCTCACTGGAGTCTGATGGCAAATTCCTAACTCAGGTCACAGTGGGTAGCCACGCCCCAGGCACATAACTTTGCTAGTAAAAGGTTTTCTTTTTCTTTGCTTTAAACAAGCCCTAGCCATTGTTTTTGTGCGTCCTGGGTAACACGCCTTTGAAATAACTACCCTCCAGAGAGAACGTAATCTTATTAAATATCCTGAATCCACCCCCCTTTTTTAACCTCCCCGGCTCATTTAAGCTCCCTTCCATTCCCTCCTGTTCCAAAGGCATGGGACGCTGCAAAACTGTGGTTCTCAGCCGAGACCGGTTTGGCTCAATGGATAGAGCGTCGGTTTGGGGACTGAAGGGTCCCGGGTTTGATTCCAGTCAAGGGCATGTACCTTGGTTGCGGGCATATCCCCAGTAGGGGGTGTGCAAGAGGCAGCTGATCAATGACTCTCTCTCATCGATGTTTCTAACTCTCCAACTCTCTCCCCTCCTCTCTGTACAAAATCAATAAAATATATTTATAAAAACATAAAAAATAAAAAAATAAAAATTTAAAAAAACCTGTGGTTCTCAGGTGCATTGGAGATCTTGCCTCCTGGCAACTGTGGCCAGTTTTGGCTCAAATGATCTCTTACAAAAATTCTCCCCAGGCTTGAACGTTTCCTGTGTGAACAAACCCACCTAAAGATATGGCTGAATCTTACCTGTCTATCGCCAAGTCAAAGAATCCTGTATGAAGAGGCGACACACACCATGTGACCCCATTGCTATAACATTCTGGAAAAGGCAAAACTGCAGAGATGGTAGGTCATGGTGTGGAGGGTTGAAATGTTCCACAGGATATTTTAGTGATGGCTATTTTGTGCATTTATGGAAACAAGTAGTTTGGGTTTTTTTTACAGTTTTTTGAATAATCTATTCAAATTAAGTTATTGAGGATGAGGCGTGTCACAGAATGGAATACAGAGTGTGCCAGAGAGTGTAGCTAGATTAGAAACGTAGAAAAGAAAAGGCGGTGTAGGTGGTGGGGCAAAAGGTGCTGACCTACATAACTCCGAAAAGGATCAGAATCCATAGACCAAAGCAAAATGTACTGTATGTACACAATGGGCTCTGTTTTATAGTTATTCCCCGGGGGGGGGGGGGGGTAGTTTACGATTCTGAAACCACTTTCTATATAATCTGGAGTGGAGCGATGAACTAAGTAAACGGCAGATGGCCCTAGCTGGGTAACTCAAATCGGATCGAGGGTCTTCCTGACAGACCAAAGTTGCAGGTTTGAACCCCAGTTAAGCGGAGGTTCCAGTATCCGTGTGATAATGGATCAGGCTGGAGACTGCAATATAAATTCATCTTTAGCTTAGTACAGATACAGACAGTTGCACACAGAAATCTTTGCAGTTGGGCGTGTATACACAGGAGGGAATGCGGGCATACATTTCCTTGCATGGTCACCGAGCACATTTAGCTCCCACACGAGTTACGTTTTTCATTCTGTACTAACAGGAACCGGGGCCCTCTGAGGAGATGAGTGATTCAAGACTTGGCTGTGACGTTCATCTGGCTTATTGACTTCACAACGCTGAGCTCAGCAGAGCCACTGATGAGGGAGCCGCCCCGCCCCAGAAGGAACAGTCCCCAGAATGGCCATAGGATCAGAGGTGCCGATAACATTCATCAAGCAAATACCCTCATTTACTAAAAATCCACATAGACATTGTGTTTTACAAAAACAGCGTTTGTCTAGATCTCTTGGTCCCTTCCCTAAGCCAACAAAAGAAGTGGTACTGAGGGAGCTCTATTCACACTGGAGGGTTCTGTTCCCATCCAAACATTAGGGCAGCCTGGGCGTGACCGAGCCCCTTGTCCAGTGCACAGAGGCGGGTTCCACAGAAACCCCCCTGGGAACCAGCCTGGAGCGCCTGGCGCCTGGAGCACTTCATTGCCATCCCAGGTGAGGGCCCTGCCACCACCAGCATCCCGACCCACAGCCTGAGTTCCAGCCGGAGGCCCTGCAGGGGCGGCTTCCTGCCTCAGGAGTTGGAGGCTGGGTACCCATAGTGGTTGCGGTCAGCCTCGCCCAGGGTCAGCGTCAGGGACAGGCTGGGCTTCCGTTCCAGCTCCCCTTCTTCCAGGCAGTGCTGTGGGGGCCGGGTTTTGAAGAAGTCAGAGATGTAGCGAACCTGGGAGAGGAAAAGAGGCAGAGTGGGCTGGGCTGGGCTGGGCTGGGCTGGGGTAGGGCTGGGACCCAAGGTGAGGGAGGTGGGGAATGGGACCCTGGGAAGGGAGTGGGGGTGAGGGGTGCTAGAACCCAGGAGGGAATGAGGGTTGTGCTAGGGGCGATAGGAAAAGCAGAACCTGGGATGGGAGGGCTGGGATCTTAGGGGGAAGACGGGGACAGAGAACTAGGGACTATAAAAGGAAGGAAGAGGGTAAGCAGGTCCCAGGGCAAAATGACGGGGCCCAGGAGCTCACAGTGAGGCCGGCCACCAGTGCCCCCTGCAGGAGGCCCACGAGGACATCACTCCAGTGGTGTTTGTGGTCAGATACGCGGGTGTAGCCCACATAGAGGGCAAAGGCCACCAGGAAGAACTGCACCGTGGGCCGCAGCAGCCGTGCCCACTTCCAGCAGAGCCGCGCCTGCACGTAGAGCTGGGAGCGCAGAGGGCAGCCATGAGCTCAGGAGCCTGCCGGGCTCACCCCGTGGCCAATGCCCAAGGCCAAGAGTAGCCCAAGAGGGTAGCCCAAGGCCAAGAGTAGGGAAGACCCAGGGCCTCCAGTTTTTATGAACAAACCACTTAGCCCAACCAATCCCCTCCGCCACCCACGTTTTATGGATGAAGAAACCGAGGCCCAGCAAAGGGCCACACCAAGCAAGGCACAGGAAAGCCAACTCACCGCCAAGAACATCATGCAGTACATCCCAAAGGAGGAGTGTCCAGAGTAGAAAGACAATCTAAGAAAGGAGAGGGCAGCGGGCATCAGGAGGGCTGTGCAGAGCACAGAGCCCAGGGCCCATGCCCAGAGACCAGACAGCTTATTCAGCAAAACTACTTTCAATCCCCTCCTGGTCTCCTGTCCTCTTCCACTGAACTTCCCACAATCTAAGGGGGAATTTTCCTTGGAAACATGGCCAGTGTTAGACATAAGGGGAGTCCCAAAAGAAGAGGGGAGAGAGAGAAGGGGGCAGATAGAGTATCTGAAGAAACAGCGGTTGAAAAATCGCCAAACATGATGAAAAACTTTACACACTCAGGAAGCTCAATAAACTCCAAGTAGGATAAATTCAAAGACATCCACACAGAGACACACTATAATTAAACTACCAAAAGAAGTCAAGAAACATTCTTAAAAGCAGACAAGAGAAAGGGCTCATTGTGCACATGGGGCCCTCAATAAGATTAGCAGCTGTCTTATCAGAAGCCATGCCAGTCAGAAGGTGCTAGATTACATATTCAAATAATTAAAACGGGGAGGGGGGGGGGAGATTGTCAACCAAGAATTCTATATCTAGCAAAATTATCCTCTAAAAATGAAGGAGAAACTAAGACATTCCCAGATAAACAAAGATGCAGAGAATTCAATGCTTGTACACCTGCCCTACAAGGAATGCTAAGAGGGAGTCTCTCGGGGAGAAATGAAGGATACTACTAGACAGTAACACAAACCCAACAAATACATAGAAAACACCAGTAAAGGCAGTTACAAAATAGAAACGTCAGTACTAATATATTTTTGGTTTATAATTCCTGTTTTCCCCCCCTATATGATTAAAAAAGAAACAGCATATATGCTAACAAAACTATCGTATGATTATGTTGTATACCTGAATAAATATAATGTTATTACACCTCACCTTTAAGAACTGCATAAAACAGTTATATATAAACCTATGTTGATAGGACACAATGGATAAAGATAAAATTTGTGACAATAACCTCAAAGGGGATGCGCAATAGTGTGTGTGTGTGTGTGTGTGTGTGTGTGTGTGTGTGTGTATTGCACTATATATCTGCAAATATTTTGCATAAGAAATACCTATTTAACCGGAAAGAAGACAGTAATGGAGAAATTAAAAACAAAGCAAAATAAAAATATAATGCATAGGTAACAAATAACAGAAGTCTTTCCTTATCAGTAATTGCCTTAATGTGAATGTATTAAATTATTTAAAAGGCAGAGATTAGAGAATGGATTTTTATTTATTTATTATTTTAAATATATTTTATTGATTTTTTACAGAGAGGATAGAGAGTTAGAAACATCGATGAGGAAGAAACATCAATCAACTGCTTCCTGTACACCCCCTACTGCGGATGTGCCCGCAACCAAGGTACATGCCCTTGACCGGAATCGAACCTGAGACCCTTCAGTCCACAGGCTGACACTATCCACTGAGCCAAACCCGTTAGGGCGAGAATGGATTTTTAAAATATCTAACTATACAATGTACATAAGAGACTCACTTTAGATTCAAAGACACAAATAGGATGAAAGTACAAGAATGGAAAAAAATATTCCATGCAAACAGTAACCAAAAGACTGCCAGAGCAGCTATGCTATATTACCATCAGGCAAAACAGACTTTAAGACAAAAAAAATGTTAGGAGAAAGAAAGGACATTACAGGATTAAAAAGGATCAAGCTATCAAGAAATATAATAATTACAAAGGTATACTGTATGCATCTAACAGAACCCAAAATACATGAAGCAAAAACTGACAGAAGCTACATATGGGTGAGACCTTTGGAACATTGAAGAGGCCAGGCAAGCCCAAGTCGGGGTGGCTGTGGTGAGGTCCGCCCGCTCACCGAAGGGCTGCAGGCTCGACTCTTGGTCAAGGGCATGTACCTGGGTTGCAGGTTTGATCCCCCGCCCCAGTCAGGCCTCATGCTGGAAGCAACCAATTGGTGTGTCTCTTTCACATCAATGTCTCTCTCTCCTCTCTCCCCCTCATCCTCCCTTCCTTCCTCTCTTTCTAAAATGCAATGGAAAAAATATCCTTGGGTGAGGATTAAAAAAGTAATAATAAAAATAAAGAAGCCAGGCAAGAAAGGCCACACATTATATGATTCCATGCATATGAAATGTCCAAAATAGGTAAACCCACAGAGACAGAAAATAGGTTAGTCCTTAACCGGGGTGTGTGTGTGTGTGTGTGTGTGTGTGTGTGTGTGTAGCTAATGGACATGAGTTTCTTTCTGGTGTGACAAACATACTTTGAAATAAGATAGTGGAGATGGCTGCACAACATTGCGAATGTACAAAAAACAAAAAACAAAAAAACACCAATGAATTATATACATTGAAATGGTTAAAAGAGTGAATTTATGCTACGTGAACTTTATTTCAAGTTTTTAAAAAGAAAAATAAGGAAGTCAGTTATGGAATTCAATTAAGGAATTCTCATCATTTGCAGCAACCTGGATAGAATTTGAGAACATCATGCTGAGTGAAACAAGCCAGTCAATGAAAGAGAAATACCACATGACCTCACTCATTTATGGATAATAAAGAACATTATAAACTGAAGAACCTGCTTAACAATAACGCACAACCTTCGGACCAACTATAAACTGAAGAACCAAAAGATAGATATAGAGACAGTAAAGCAACAAGCAGACTGTCAAATTACAGTGGGGAGGGTAGAGAGATCTGGGAGAGATAAGAGATCAACCGAAGGACTTGTATACATGCATATAAGTACAACCAATGGACACAAAACTCTGGGGAGGCAGGACATGTATGGGGGGGACTGAGGGAAGGCCAATGGTATATGTAAAAAGATAATAATTTAATTTAAAAAAAAGTAAATAAATAAAATTTCCTAATTAAAAGAAAAAGAAAAAGAAGGAAGTCAGTTATGTGAAAAGCTTATCAAAATAGATGAGAGGACAGAGCAAAAGCATGAGAACGGACCTGAAATCTAGTGGGGGGATGGGTGACTCCTCCTAACACTGGCTGCTCTGCTCCCTCCTGACACCCCAGCCCTCTCCCCTCCCTGCCTGCAGGACCCAGGCCCACGGGCACCGCCCAGCCCTACCCCACCCCCCACCCCCCGTCCTTCGCCCAGTGAGGTACCTCTTTATCCTCCATTTGGCAACTCATTCTTCAATGTCAGCTTCTGGGGGCCCTTCTCCAGCCCCCTCGCTCCCCCAGCGGCACCCAGCGTGACGGCCGCTCACCCAGCACCCACCTGGACTCGGTGACGTTGGCAGGGCTCCCCCTGCACACCTTCTCCACCTGGACGTAGACGGAGCAGTTGACCCGGCTCCAGTCGGGGTCGCACACCGCCAGGAAGTTGGGCCTCAGCCGGCCAATCATGTACTTGGCCAGGTCAGTGAGGGACTGGCTCACGGCCGCCCCGAACAGGAAGGCCCCCAGCACCTTGTAGACGGCGGCCAGGTAGTTGTTGAAGTTGGAGCGGGAGTAGAGCCGGTCCGTGTACACCAGGTAGGCCTCTCCGGCCGAGACCTGCAGAGGGACCAGCCCAGAGGCCTCAGGGTGGGACCAGAGCAGGGGGGAGGGGGGTCTCCGCCGAGCACTCACTCCGTCCTCCCCACGGAAAGGGGTTTGGGATTCCTGCCTTCCCCGAGGCCACTAGGGAGCTGGGAATGCGGTAGGGGGTCCTCTTCCCCACAAATACCACCCAGGGCAGATACAGGATGTTCCCACACACACACACACACAACCCCCCCGACAAGCCCCTCCTGCCTTACAAGGATGACGGTGGTCGTGATGATGACCCCGGCCATGAGCCCATGAGTGATGGTGTCTGGACGGTAGGGGTACCGGATGGAGTCATCACTGCAGTAGAACCCTCGCTTGTATGGGGCATTCACGAGCGTCAGGATGGCGAAAGGCAGAGAGGCTGGGGCGGAGGAGAGAAAGCATGTAGCCACTTGTTCCTCCCCTGGCACCAGCCCGAGGGCCACACAGACCAGCCTTCGGAGTCTGCACACCTGCCACGGCCTCCCTCCTGGTTCCTTACCTTCATGCCCACCATTAACACCCCCTCAGGGCTCCCCATCACCCTCAGATACTAACACCAACGTCCTCCCCAGGACCATGCCCACCCCACACCTCCTTCCCCTCCCCCCACTTCCCTCCATCCTCCTTCCTGCTCCTCAAGCAAACCCAGAAAGCACCCAGCCCAGGACCTTTGCACGTGCCCTTCTGTCTACCCAAAGCATGTTTAACTAACTTCCTTCTGGTCATTCCCCCCTCCTGACTGCCCCGTAATCACTCTCCTAGAAGGAAATTTCCGTTCTTCCTGCTTCTTGTCCTTGTCTGGAATTATATACTCATTGGTACTTGGCTGACCTCTCCCCCCATCTGTGAGCACCGGAGCGGGAGGCTGTCATGCTCAAGGCTGAGTCCCAGGCATTTAATAAGCATCAGTAAGCCGAAACCGGTTTGGCTCAGTGGATAAAGCCTCGGTCTGCGGACTGAAGGGTCCCGGGTTCGATTCCGGTCAAGGGCATGTACCTTGGTTGCAGGCACATCCCCAGGAGGGGGTGTGCAAGAGGCAGCTGATCGATGATTCTCTCTCAGCGATGTTTCTAACTCTCTATCCCTCTCTCTTCCTCTCTGTAAAAAATCAATAAAAATATATTTAAAAAAATAATAATAAATAAATTAAAAAATAAATAAATGAGCATCAGTTATAAGAGGACTTCCTACTCTCGGATCTGAGATGCCCACGTTTCTTTTTTGTCCCTGAGCCGGCCACACAGCGACCAAGCCAGACCAGACCTGGGAGCTCCGTCCGAAGACACCTTCAGGAGCGCAGACAAAACCAAATCGCAAAAGGGTAAGTCACCCAGGCAGGGGCCCTGCTGAGCCGGAGGCTCCCCTGGCCCACACGGGGCTCCCTGCTCTCTGGAGCAGGAGCGCAGGGACAAGCTCCAGCAGGGTGTCCTTTGCCCCTGGCGGGCAAGTGACAAGTGTAAAAGGGTGTGTCTCTTCGGGGACAGCAGAGCCAATGCCTCCCCACAGCCCAAATCCCAGGGTCCCAGGGACCCATTCGTGGTGGCATTGAGCACCTCTGATGCCGAGTCTGGGGAGACGCAGTGGAGAAAACAGAGGTCAGAGGGCTTAGAAATAAGGAATCAGTAAAAAATGACTGGGATCAGCCCTAACCAGTTTGGCTCAGTGGATAGAGCAGATTCAATGGTCCCAGGTTCGATTCTGGTCAAGGGCATGTACCTTTGTTGCGGGCACATCCCCAGTAGGGGGTGTGCAGGAGGCAGCTGGTCGATGTTTCTCTCTCATCGATGTTTCTAGCTCTCCTCTTCCTCTCCCTACCACTCTGTGAAAATCAATAAAATATTAGAGGGGAAAAAAGATGACTGGGATCGAAGAGGTGGCTGCAGGCTTCAGCAGGGAGTGGAGAGTGGGTCCCAGAGCGGGTGGCTCGGAGGAGGTGAGGAAGCTCAGGGGACATCTGGGGAAGGGTGCCAGGCACAGGGAACAGCCAGCGCAGGCGTCTGCAGGTGCGGCCACGCCGGGGAGTGGAGCACTGGGAAGAAGGACTGTGTTGGGCTGGAGGATGGGGGACATTATAAGAATGTGACCGTTGCTGTGTGTGAGGCGGGGGCGCAGGAGGGTGTGGAGCAGAGGAATGGGGCATGTTTCCACTTCACCCTCTGGCAGCGGGGAGGCCAAGGAGTCCCTCACAGTTGTGTGTGTGTCGGTGTGGGGGGCAGCGCTGGAAGATGCTGAGAAATCTCGTCACACAGGGAGCCTGGGCGGAGAAGTCCGCCTCCCAATTACCGTCCCAGCCCCTTCCTCTGGACACCGGGCACCCCCAGAGCCAGAGCGGGGCTCTCCTGGGGCCTGGGAAGCAGGGCTCTGTGCACCGAAACCGGGACCTCCCTCCGCTCAGCTCCCCGGGCCGCCAGGGTGTTGTCTGGGCCTTTGTCAGCATTGGAAACTGAACTGTGTGCGCTGAATCTCCCAGAATGGGGAGAACAGTCTGCCTGAGCCGGCTTCCAGCACAAGCAGCTTCTAACACCCGGCCTAATCTTAGCCCTGCCTCCCCCGTGACCTCTCCGGAATGAAATTGGGGATTATGAGAGCTCATCCTCCGCGGGCCGTTTGGAGAAAAAAGGTTTAATTGTTTGCATGTTGCTGAGCGCTCAGCATACAGTAAGCTCCACAGCAACATTTAAATAAATAATAAGGCAGAAGCCCGGGATATGGGGACCAGGGGACTTCCTGCCGCCACCTGGCACACCCCAAAGAGGGTCTGATCGGGGACGCGGGAGAGGGGCCTGGCCCCCGCCATTCATTAGGACTGAGCCCTCCATCCCTCGGTCCCCCGGTTGGAGGAGCAAGAGCCAGGTTTAGGGGGGAGCAGGGACAGGACTTTGCCGGAGGGGCCCCTCCCCCGCCGCGGGTAGGGTTCCGGGACCATTGCCCTCCGGCCCCAGCGCAAACACTCGGCCTTTGTTTCCGGGACCCTGGGAAAGGGGCGGGGAGGGGAAGCGAGGGGGCCCCGGGCTGCCCCCTCCGCCGGCCTGGCCCGAAAAGCCGCCCAACAGGTTTGGCCGCGCCTCCCCGGAGCCCGCGGTCCATCCGCAGCCCGGGGCCCCGCTTTCTCCCCGTGTTTCCCCGGCTGCGCGGGTTCGAGTCCCACCAGCGCGCGGCGCGCCCCGGGCCAGGCTCCAGCCTCCCGGCCCCATGGGAAAGCCGGGCCGGGGCCGCAGGGTAAAGGTCCTCGGACCCGCACCGGCACCGGCACCGGCACCGGGCGCACCCCGCCCGCCCCGCCCCTGCCGGGGCCGCCGCCCGGTGAATCACCGCCGGCCGGGCGCGGCGGGGAAGGGGGCGCGGCGGGAGCGGGCGCCGGCGGCCCTGCGGTCACTTCCTGCCGCCCCGGGCGGGGGTGCCAGCCCCGGGCCGCTCCTGACCTGCTCGTGAACCCGGCGGGTAAACTGAGGCTGGGCGGGCGCATGTCCCCTGTCCCAGTCCCCCTCCAGAGGCGGCCTCAGGGAGTGGGGCGGCGCGGGCGCCCAGCAGACCTGGCGGGGACGGGGACGGGGCGGGGCGGGAGCACCCCTGGGAGGACCCCCGCCGCCCGGTCCCCGGGCTCTTACCGACCAGCACGCACAGCACGTCGAGCAGCACGAAGACCCACCTCCGCTCCATGCCACCCCCGCCCGGCAGCGCCCAGACCCGCGCCGCCAGCCCCAGCGCGACCCGTCCCGTCCCGGCCGGCCGCAGGTCACATGGCCGCGGAGCCGGCCGCGGAGGGGAGGGCAGGGGAGGAGACGGGACGGGAGGGGAGGGGAGGGAGGGGAGGAGAGGGAGGGCGGGGCGGTCCCGGGGGAGGGGGCGGACTCTGCCCCCGCCCCGCCCGCCCGCGGCGCGCAGGGAGGAGCGGGGTGCGGAGTGCGGGCGCGCCGCGCGGGGCCCGGGGTTTGGAGGAGGTGGGGGGGTCTCTGAGTTGGGAGGGGTCGTCAGTGCCCAGTTACCCCCAACCCGTTACCAGGCCGGAAGGCTAAGGCTCAGGGACAGGGGGCCCTGGTCACACGTATTGGGTCCAGGGGACGCGAGACGGGGTGGGGTGAGGTGATAGGAAAAGAACGAGGGCCCTAGCCGGTTTGGCTCAGTGGATAGAGCACGGACCTGCGGACCTGAGGGTCCCGGGTTTGATTCTGGTCAAGGCCACATGCCAGAGCGGTGGACTCCATCCCCAGCAGCCGGCCTGCAGAAGGCTGTCAGTCGGCGGTTCTCTCTCATCACTGATATTTCTCTCTCTTTCTCCCTCCCTGTCTGAAATCGGGAGGGAGGGAGGGGGGAGGAGGGGAGAGAAGTGAAGGAGGGGTGAATGGGCAGCCCCAGCAGAACTGCGGGGTGCGAAGGAGCTCAGCTCCGGGCTCCATAGGATAAGTCCCCAACCTCCTCATTCCGTGTACATTTCAATACCCTGAAGCCAGTAGTGCCTCACAGTTAAATGGATGGGCCCTGGAGGCTGTGCAGGCACTTCTGCTGTGTGGCACTCTGTCCCCATCTGACAGAAGAGCAGAGGGGCCAGGAGGTAGGAACTTGCTCACACCTAGAGGTCACCTCTGTGCCCTGCACCACACAGGTCTCAGGGAGCCTGAGCTGGGAGGCGCCTGGGGGTCACAATCACTAAGCCATGGAAACAGGCTCACGGGCCCATTACGTCCACTCTGTGTCCACACAGCCGCACTGGATCCTTTTGGCTGGAATCACCCGAGGCCTAGGGGAGTGTGCCCACCTGGGGAGAAGACCTGCCTGGATCTGGCAGGACGTTTGATAGCAAAGGTTCCGTCACCTTCAAGGTCACACAGTGAGAAAGGAGCTGGGATTGGAACGCAGATTGCCTGGCCCCCAGGTTGCATGTCCTTGACCTCTAGACCTCATTCACCACATGCTGTCTCCGATGATCCTGCAGAGGTGCTTGGCCCCTCTCAGAGAGGAGGGGAGTCTGGTCCAGACAGAGGCAGCCCCTAGCCCCAAGTCAGCCACCTGGGGTTTACATTCAAAGGCCCCCCCACCCTGCTTCCTGGGGGGATCACAGACCTCTGCACTTGGCCACTGTCCAGGCAGCAGGGTTGGGGGATAAGCGTCTCTGAATCAAGTCCCCTGCGCCCCAATCAGCTTTCCTTAAGCAGAGACACTTCCGACACCCCCCCCCCCCGCCCCAACACACACACACACACACACACACACACACACACACACACACACTCAAAACAACTCAGCCCACCCCAGGCCATGACAAGGTCCTGCCTGGAAACTCTGGACCTGACTTTTCCGTCTGCGGTGTGGCAGAGACAGTGGAAAGGATGTCACCAGCCACCAACCCCCTTTCCAACCGCAAGCCCCAAAGAGTCCCAGTCGCCTGCAACTTCCTCCAAGGCGGCTGGGAGAATCAGACTGAATTGCAGGAGGGTTTTCCGAGTCTGGGTGAGGGCTGAGGCTCTGGCAAGGGCCGTTTCAGGCTCAGCTGCATCCCGTGGGTCCTCCTTCCCGGCCCACGCAGGCTTGGGATCTGCTCATTGGCTTCTATCCCTGCCACTCACAGGGCGGGCTCCAGGGGAAAGCTGGTCCGGGCTCTAACTCCCGCCAGCCATTCATTCTTTCATTCAGGCAGCACAATCTGAACTAGGGTTGTTGTGAGAATTACCTGATAAAATACTGGAGAGCCTGGCAAAAATGTTACATAAATGTTAGCTTTATTGCACTTTTTTCCACTTGAACCTCGTTTCAATCAAGTGACTACTGGTCGTTGATAGCCCGTCAACACTTCCAGCTTTGTATTGGAATCAAGGAAATGGAGAGTTCTTTATTGAGCACCTACTGCGTGCTGGGCATGGGAGGGGGGTGGAGGACGGGACTATGAGACACTTGCCAAAGTGGAGCGTGGTGGAGGAGACAACCTGGGGTGCTACAAGGTCAAATCCAGGAGGGTCTCCAGGGAGGCTCGGGCAGGCAGACACTGTGGGTAGGAAGGGCTTGGTCTGATCCCTCTGAGGCAGAAGTGGCTGGAGCAGGGGCAGGAGGCTGGAGGAGCTGGTGTGGCTATCGGCCCTCCCCACTGACCTCCATCTCGTCCCGTTCTTAAAATATCTGGGCAAGGTCAGGATTAAAATCTAGCAGGGCAGTAGGGATTAGGATTAGTGTTAAGATTGGGGTCAGAGTTCTAGCTGGGGTCCCCCACTTAAAAAAGCTTTCACACCTGGTCCTTTACAGAGAATCAGAGCCAGAGGGGGCCTGTTCAGGATGGCTTCTCCTTTACCTGCAGATGGAAGCTGGAAGGAGACCGATGTACCAGGCAGAACCATGCCCATCTGCCCTATAGATCCCAAACTCCGTGTTGCCCGGTCACTCCCAAGCTGTGATACTCAGGGCTCAGGTTATGTTCTCATCACCCTGTTGCCTCAGTTCAACCTAAGGGGCTCCAGGTTTGTTTTCAAAAGTATTGTGAAGATTAAGGGAGAAAAGCCTGGCAAGTGGGTAGAAAGGTGCTGGGCACACCATAGGGGCCACCCAAGTGCAGCCACCACTCACCTCTTTCTATACTTTTGGGGCTCAAAGACCATATTGGGAGTTGGCTCCCAGACTGGGGGCTCTAAGCACTGCTAAAGGTCCTGCAGTCAGACTGTACCTCTGGGGGCTGTGATGGTGTTTGGACAGTGAAGGCAGAGTGGGTGGATGGTCCTCAGTCTCATTAAACAGCACTATTAAAAAGAAAGGTTAGCTTAATAGGTGCTTGGTCACCTCTTAAGTCAGAATCCCAGTCCTGGTATAAGGACTTTACTGTCCCCAAGTGCCACACAACCTAAATCTAGGAGACCTTCCTAGCTTCAGCATCTAGTCAGCATCCTGGGAACCCTCAGTCCTGCATGAGTTACTTCATGCAGATGACTCCTCCCTACCCTATACCCTAGTCTGCCACCTTCTTCCTCTAAGCTCTGGCATCATCTCAGCTTGTGTGCCCACTTATCAGCTTATCAGAGTCAGGATCCTTCCAGAGTCAGCTCCAGGAGGGCAGGGATCTCTCCCCTCCCCCCCAGTAGATGATCAAAGCTTCCTGAATGAAAGTGACCTAGTGAATAATGAATGACTTAATCCTGGGCGGGAGATCACCAGGGGGGGGTGTGGGCTGGGCTTTCACAGGAAGAGGCCGCCAGCAGCTTATTCCTTCAGGGAGATAGTTCTCCCTGAAGAACTATCTTCAGGGAGAATCAAGTCCCTGAGACACTCCCCCACCCCACCCCACCTTCCCTGACTACTGCTCAGGGTTGGGGGTAGTACTTTGGGGTATTTTACTCTGAGCCCCCACCACTGGGTCCCAAGATCAGGAGAGGCTGCAGACTCCAGTCTACCTACAGGGGAGTGGACAGGAGCCGCCTCAGCTGGACAGTGAGGCAAAGCCACAGCCTGGCCCTGACCTCCAGACACTCAGGGGCACTAATCTGCCAGGCAATCCACTACCTCAATGTGCTCCTTATAGCGGCCCAGGAATAATGTTACCAGAGGGTATTATAAGAGGTTAAAGAATATAAAGGAGCCCTGACCTGTTTGGCTCAGTGGATAGAGCATTGGCCTGCGGACTCAAGGGTCCCAGGTTCGATTCCAGTCAAGGGCATGTGCCTTGGTTGCGGGCACATCCCCAGTAGGGAGTGTGCAGGAGGCAGCTGATCAATGTTTCTCTCTCGTCGATGTTTCTGACTCTATTCTTCTCCCTTCCTCTCTGTAAAAAGTCAATAAAATATATTTATATTAAAAAAAAAAAAAAAAAAAAAGAATGTAGAGGGAAAGGTGAAAAGCGTGGAGAATTCCAGCAGAGAAACAGAAAAACAAAAACCAACAGTAGGGATTTCGGATAGGCTGCAGGGCAGTATGAAACTGTAGAAAAGAGGACCAGGGACCTCACAGACCGGTCCATAGCAACTATGCAAATAGTAACACAGAAAGAATAAAACACACAGAAATCTGTGGGGCAATACCCAGTGCTCTCCTGGGTAACTAGAGACCCAAATGGAAAAGAGCGAACACAGCAGCAGACACATCTGAAGAAATGGCCAAGATGCCCAACACCAATGCAAGGCAGCCCTTAGGCCCAACAAGTTCTATGTGGAAATCTACCCCTGGCCATCACACTCAAATGCTGGAGTCCAGTCAAAAGGGACACCACAAAGCAAAAAGATGGGTCTCACGTAGGAAAACACAAGAATGGCCTATTTCTCATTAGAAACCAAGAGTCAAGGGAACGTCTAAAATGCTGATCCTGCCAAAAAAAAGAAAAATAAGTTTCAAAAATGAAGAAAGAATCCTCAAGGATCTTTCTGGCCAGTGAGAGGCAGCGAAGAGCATTGGTGGGAAGAAATGAGAGCCCATCTCTAAAGGCTACAGAAAACGATGAGACACCACCACAGCATCGGGACAGCCGAAATCCAAACTGAGGACTCCTAGCACACAGACCGCCAGGCCCGGAGCTGGCTGAGCAAGTCTCCTTTATCATCGATGCAAATGCAAATGGTGCAGCCCTTCTGGAAGATGGTTCAGTGGTTTCTGACTAAACTAAACACTCTCACCGTAAGATTCAGCTCCCCAGTATTTACCCAAATGAGCTGAAAACTTGTGTCCTAACAAATATCTGCACAAGTGTTCACAGTAGCTTCATCCATAAGTGCCCAAACCTGAAAGCAACTGAGACTTCCTTCAGCTGGTGAGTGGATGATAAACTGGTTCCTCTGACAGTAAAATACTCCTCAGCAATAAAAAGAATGAGCCATGAAGCCTCAAGGAGACACCGAGGAACCTTAGTGCACATCGCCAAGTGAAAGAAACCAGTCTGAAAGGCTGTTCGATCCCAGGGAGAAAAACACCTGACACTAACACAAAGTAGTAGTAGATGTGAACTGTGACTGAAAAATAAATAAAATAGGGAGAAAGATACAAACCTTAGCTGTCAAAGTAAATACACACACAAAGGTAAGAAAGGACAAGGGCAATTTTCTCGAAAGCAGAGCAAACCAGAGTATCGTAGAGCAATACCTCTAAACTACTTCAAGAAAATGAAAAAAGACCAAAAACTCCAGTGAAAATCACTCTCAAGTCCCTGGCGCCCCACCCCGCAAGTACACCCGCTCCCAGAGCTGGCACAACCAGCTTTGAAGGACTAAGCCTCAAATCCTAGAAGACACCACTTTCCCACACACCTGGGCACAACCAGCCCCTGACCCATCTGCCCTTGGTCTTCGTACCCGGGGTCCAGGCTGACCCTCCCAGCATGTCCCCTGTCTTTGCCCACCTGTTTGCACCTCCTCTGAAGAAGCTCTGAAACCCCATCTTGACTCAGCCCCTGCTTACCCTTCCGGGGGATTCAGGACAGAACCTGCTAGCTGGCCCACCCAGACCCTCAGCTGCTCGGCCTCCTCCCTGGCCTCCACCTCTTTCCTGGGACTCCGGCCCCTGCCTACCTCTGTGTTGGTGGTGACCTCAGCCTGGCTCACACCAGCCTTCACCAAAACAAGATGATTCTCCTTCAGGTTCCAGATTAAATGTCCCCTCCGTTTAACTGACCATCTCCCTCACGTCGGCCACCATGATGTGGATCCTGTCCCCATGCCCTCTGTCATGACACATTCCCATCCTTGAACGATGCCTGGTACAGAGCCCACCAAGTGACTCAGTGACCAGGATGACCTGTGGTTCCCCGGCACCTCCTCACACCCTGCCCAGTCCACCACGAGGCACCCACGGGGCTTCAAATAAAGTTTAATAAATAAAACAGCAAGAGATTCAAGGCAGTTTTCACTTCACAGTGTGGTCCTTGGTGGGGTGACAGGGAAGGTTGAGTCCAACTCTGTAGATGGGCTCGAGCCAAAACTCTCCTGGTGACACCCAAGGGCTGGGGAATGCTGCCCTGCCCCCCTGGAGGACCCCACTCCAATTTGTAAACAGAAACATAAATAAAAAAAAAGGAGGTGGGGGAAGAGATGGATCAGGACCCCAAACCATCTTGCTGGGGAGCTTCAACAGAAATACGACCCGCAGGGTCAGGAAAACAAGCTGGACCTGGCCCCTCGGCATTACAGGTGACAGGGGGTGTCGGTCACCTGTCTCTTGGAGCCCAGGAGGCTGCTGAGAAGCCCTGGGCGGACAGAGAGGAGGCAGGTGGGCATAAAGTGCGGCTTTTCCTGAAGTGGACAGAGTGGGTGAGGTCAAAGGTGGGGCGGGACCAACGTCGAGGTATATGGCTCTGTGCCCCATGGGGTTTGGCACCGAGTAGCAGCTGCCCACCGACCCCTGGACTGGGGCAGCCCATGGCCCTGCCAACTACGGCGAGACAGAGCCAAGCAGGTGCTGGGGGCTCCCTGGGCAGAGGCTGCTGGTGGGGGGTGCGGCGTCCTGTCCTGTCTCCCCATCTCCCTGACGGGCAGGGGTGCCTTTCTGTGCCTCTGCTGGCTGGAGGGGACCGGTCCCTCTGCACCCAGCTGCCCAATGGGTCCCACGGAGACAGCCTGCAGCCAGGCAGTGGTGCCGGGCGCTGAGGGTGCCGGGCTGTGTGTGGGGAGGGGCAGGGCTGATAGCCCTGCCGCTGCTCACCCTAGTCCTTGAAGTGTTCTGAAGCAGAGATGGCGTTACCCGAGGCCCACGAGGAAAAGGGTCGGGAAGACTGACAGAGGCAGGCCCCACAGTGGCCCCAAGTCCAGTCTAGGCCACACACACCCGCCTGTGGCCAGGAATCAACAGGTCATCACGTTACAGCTGCAGTGAGGGGAGAGACCGAGAGAGAGACCAAGAAAGGGTCAGTCCAGTCCCACAGAACGCACGGCTTGAACGCTGTGGGCCAAGCACAGGGCTCCCAACCTCGCCTCCCCAGCAGACCGTGTTTTCACGTGTGCCTGGGGAGAGCTGGTGGTTGGGCAGGGCTGGGAGGAGACTAGCACTGGCCCCATTTGTACCTTTTGGGTTTTGAACCATATGAATGTATTACCTAATCAAAAAAATAAATTAAGCCAAATTAAAAGTAGAGAATAAAACTAAAGAAACAAAAACCTGCTCCGTGGGCCACACCACCCTTGGGCCCTCAGGGCAGACCCCTCCCGCTCTCCTCAGTGTAGCCTGAGGCTGGGGCCCCTAGGGTGGGGGCTGCACTCACTGTGACAGGGGCTCCGAGTGCAGCCCAGGGCCCGGGCACGCTGGGTGAGTAGCCAGGAAAGGATTCACGTCCCCAATGCCAATGAGTCCAAACTCAGTGACCGACAAGGCCACCTGTGCAGGGGCCACAGCTTCCTCGGACTCTCCATCCATATCCACATGGCTGGAGACCTGGGGCAGCTCCTCAGGAAGGGCCCCTGGCAGGGCCAAGTCCACAGCCAGTCTCGAGCTGGTGCTGGGCTCTGGAGCAGCTGCAGCGGAGGGGCAGAAGGCCGGCTCGGCCAGGGCTGGGGGCTGCTGGGGTGCGGGCACAGTTGGTGGGGTGTCCAGTTGCTGGAACAGACAGGGCTCTGGCTCAAAAGATGGGAGGTTGTTGGAGCCTTCCTCAGGTTCACCAACACTGCTGGTCATGCCGTCCATGCTCAGCGGCTCTAGAGGGGGAGAACACAGCTGAGGCCAGGCCCCAGCAGCAGCCACGCCCAGCCTCCCAGGATCCGCAACCATCCTGGCTAAGGAGCATTGGCTTAAAAATCATACTTTTTGCCCTCAGAACGCAATCTATGCAGGCTCCAGCCAAATCTCTGTCGGGGAAAGCAAAGCCTATGGCGCCTCATCACTGATGTTTTCACACAAATCCATAAAATACACATGAACACAAAAGAAACTAGTTATACTAAACTGTGCACCCAGGCTAAAGGTCCTGCTTTGGAAGGTTGTGATTCCTGTTTTTCAAACAGAACAGAACACAGCAGATTCAAAACAACAAAATGCTTGAATGCACTTGCCCAGTCACGGTAAATGTGACTGTGGAGTTCTGTACACGGGTGAAGTGACAATGGTTCCCAGACACCTGCTCCTTAGTGTTCACTGGCACAGGTGTTTGCCCAAAGGCAGGGGCCCTCCCCCCAGTTACCTATAGGCATCCGTGCCAGAGGGTCCTGCTTGGGGTTTAGGCCGTCAGTGGCAGGGGGCAGGGGCGGTGAGGAGCGGGAACGGGCAAGGCCATCAGGGTCACTGCCGTCTAGGTCCTGGTCTGCATCCCTGTGGAAAGATGGCACGTGGGGGGCTACAGTCAGCTGCCTCAGGCGGGAGGTGCTCCCGAGGACTCCCAGTCCCCGACCCCAGGCCCTGCTGGGAGCCCGCCACACATACGTGGTTCCTGAGGGGCCGTACTTCCTCCGGCCCAGCCGCGTCTGCTGGGAGAAGTAGTCATAGCGCTCAGACTTCTTCCACAGGTAGTAGTATTCCACACACTCGCCCACAGACCTTGTACGCACCTGAGGAACAGTGTGGTGTCATCTGGGCCCCACATGCCCAGCTCCCTCCGCTTCCCGGGGCAGCAGGAACAGGTTACAGCAGCCAGCGCTCTCAGAGACCCTGCCTACACCTCCAGTTTCTTCCGCACCCACCTCCAGCCCCCATCCAGGCTCACAGGTCACCCTCATGTCCAGGCCATCCTTTTGCCCTGAACATGGCACCTCAATCTCAGAGAGCTCCCCTACCTGCCGACATGGGACCCCATTCTTCTTCATTCTGGATCCATGTGTCCAGTGTCCACTTCCCTTTCCCAGACCTCACCAAGCTCCCAAGGACTAAAGTGTCCACCTCATTCCCTACTCATCGCAGGCCCAGCAGAGGGGGAATAACGAGCCCTTGTGCAGACACCAGGGACAGAGACCCCATCCAGGGAGGACAACACGCAACCTGGCCAAGCCTGCTTTTCCCACAGAACACCACTAACACCCCAAGGGAGAGCTGTCTATGGGCACATGAAATGCCATTGAAGGACACACTGGGGCTTCATGAACCCCGGACTCAGGTCACATACATAGCACCCTAGAAAGTAAGGGACAGTGCGGCATGGAGCTGGATGCCACCTGGCAAAACCTCTTGGGGCATCATTGCTTTGGATGAGCCCCACAGCAAGGCCAGGGCTGTTACAGGTACATGAGAGAAACCTGCTGGTCCCCAGGATGAGGGACAGACAGACGACAGAGCCCAGGGAAGCCTGGGAACCAGGGGCAGGCAGGACACACAGGAGCTGTCCCCTCTTCCAATGCATCAGGGCTCTGACTGGTAGAGAGCGTCACAGCCTCCATGGGGCCAGGTGCAAACTTAACATGTGTGTGGTAGCCACGGGCAGACATTGGAAGGTAATGCATGTGAAGTTTCGCTCACAGAAGCCTCGGCTGCAGTGGGAATGCAGGGAACAGCGCACTGCATCAGGCCACCAGCAGCTAATCTGCCTAGAGCCGTCGTTGTCGGCAAACTGAGGCTCGCGAGCCACATGCGGGTCTTTGGCCCCGCGAGTGTGGCTCTTCCACAAAATACCACGGCCTGGGCGAGTCTATTTTGAAGAAGTGGCGTTAGGAGAAGTTTAAGTTTAAAAAATTGGGCTCTCAAAAGAAATTTCAATCGTTGTACTGTTGACATTTGGCTCTGCTGACTGAGTTTGCCGACCACTGGCCTAGAGGATCTAGTGCCACCTGAAACGGCCCTGGGCAGGTCAGCTGAGCCTCCTCCTGTCCCTACAGTGGCCCAGCACAGATGTCTCACTTACTCCAACCTCCCAAGAGAGGACAGAGGCCCCAAATGCGAGCTAAGTTTCAGCCAGGCCCTGCTTCTCCACAAGCTGTGTCACCATGAATAGCAGGAAGGGGCCAGGGCTGCTTCCCTAGAAGGGCAAAAAACCACTAGGAGACGGGGTGAGGGGAGAGAGCCATGTCGAGACAAAGGGAACTTCAGACTCTGAGACTGAGTCATAGGAGCATATCCTGCCAGAGATCCAGGAAGAGGGACTTAAGTCTAGGAAGGACATGGGGACTCAGGTCCAGGGGAAGAAAAGGAGACTCGGGTCTAAGAAAAGCAGGTGGACTCAGGTCCAGGGGAGGGCAGGGCAGGGCCTCGGTACTCAGCAGCCCATTGGTCATGAGCAGGTGGCAGGAGAGACCTATTCCCGTGGTTTGATCAAACTAAGAGACCCCCGTTCCCCATGGCTAGAGGCTGAGAGTGGGGTCCAGGCTGGGAGTCCGCACTGCAGCATAGGCTCTGAGCACAGGTGGTGGAGCTCTCTGCGACTGAGATGCCATCATGTTCATTCCCATATTGGAGCCTTCTTTGGGGGAAGGAAGTGGTCTAACCGAGGAGACTAGAATATAATAGCAGGCACGTATGCGTGAGAGACGGAAACCACGGCTTTAGCCCTCAGCTCAGGGGAGCCTCAAGAGCCTGGTAAGGGGAGTCACACTCTCGTACTGTGGGGTGTAGGGAGCCATGAGCCCAGGCTCCTAGGTTTTCTCCAGCCCCAAGGAGGCTATGGTGCAGCCCGATGGGAGCAGGACGGGCTGTGTCCTCACCTTGTTGGCCTGGATTAGGTGGAAGTTTTTCCCGTGCACTCGGAAGCCATGCTCAAAGTTCCTACACTCCTCCTCACTCCAAGCACAGAGCCCATCTACAACCAGGAAGAGGCATGGTGTCAGCAGCGCCCAGACCAGGAGAGCTAGCAGGGTGGGGTGGGCAGGCGGGGCGCTCACCTCGAATCACCTTCACATTAAACCGCAGTCTCCGCAGAGCCTCCTCCACATTGAAACTGCACTTCACCAGCTCATACAGCGCCTGCGGGAGTGAAAGCCTCTGCCCACCTGCTCCCCAGCAGCAACAGCAGGAGCGCTGACCACCACTGGGGCAGGCATGTGGGGCATTCACACTACTTTTAGAGTGAGGATATTGGGGGTGTCTGCCCTACCATCAGAGAGGGGAAATAAGGGCAGTCATACCACCACCAGGGAAGGCATATAGGGGTTCACACCCCATCTGGACAGGGATATTGGGGGCATTAAATTCATCATCCAGGAGGTGTTATGGGGGTGTTCACCCCACCATCAGCTCTGGATATGGGGAGTGTTTACAACGCCATCAGGGAAGTGAAATGGGGGTGTTCAAATGACAATCAAGCTGAATATACTGGGGGCACGTACCTCATCAGGACAGGGATGTTTGAGGCATATATATATATATATATATATATATATATATATACACACACACACACACACACACACACACACACACACACATACACACACACACATTATCATCAGGGCAGGGATATCCAGGGTGTTCACACCATTAGTGTAGGGATAATGAGGGCATTCACACCACTATTGGGGAGGGGCTATAAGAACACATTTACCTCACTATCAAGGTGAAAGCATGCGGGGGGCATTTACACCACCATTGGGGTAAGGATATGGGGTTGTTTACACCACCCAGCATGCTGCCTACCTGCTCACTATCTTTCACCATTTCTCCCTCTGGGAGCTGAGACCCGGTAGTCTCGTGCCATCTCCGCTTGATTGCCCGGTACAGGAACTCCTCCACCTCCCTCTCAGGGAGGATGTTGGGGTCCCACAACAGCTGGTCTTCATTCTCATAAACTGTTCAGAGGGAGTGCCAGGGTCAACGTGGGCCCAAAGTCCATGCCCACACCCGGAAAGGGCACACTCCCTCTCCACAGGCATCCACAGCACCTCCAAGGACAGCTGCTAATTTGTATGTCTGGTTCCTGTGACCTGGGACCATCCCTCACACACCCCTCTAGGCCAGAGGTGGTCAGGGTAACAACAAAAGGTGGAAGCGATGGGAGGCCCACTGGGTGATTCCCAGCTGGGAAATCTAAGACAGCCTCCTGGAGAAGGCGGCAAGTAGTCTGGGTTGAGGAAAGGGGGACTTCTGAGCATGGCCTTAGGGGAGGGAGTTGTAGGTAATGGGCTCACAGATGGTAAAGCCATTTACACAGTTTGCAAGTCTTGACCAGAGTCACAAGGAAGCTGGGTGAAGAGCCTTGACCCAATGGCAGTGAGAACCTGGGTCCCGGTGGTCTTACTTAGGCAACAACCACTCTAACCACTGCATCCTACAAGCCACATATGAGTGTACTTTGCCCAGAAAGGGGATGTCCTGCTCCATGCAGGCAGTGGGTGGCAACCTCTAGCTGGAGAGGGACCCAATGGGAAAGAGACAGAAGGGAGATCTCAGGGCTCAGCCTGGAAAGACCCCAGTGCCAGCACCTCTTAACTAGGGAAGAATCACAGGGACCACAAACTATAAGAATCACAGGGACCACAAACTAAACAGCCCAGTACAGTGGCCAGAAAGTGAAAAACACACTGAGAAAAATGGCTCCTGTGTTAGAATGTCTCTGGTTGGGAAACTGACTGGGAACCAACAACTCCTGAGAACCACAGAAGCAGGGACCTCTCCCAATGCAAGAGCCCCTCCACACTGATGCAATCCCAGCCACTCTTGGCGGGGGGGAAAATAGCATCATCCTGCCCAGCAGGTGAATGTGAGAGAAAAATCTGTGCAACAGAAGTTAATCCACAAATGGCTGGAAGTCAGAGTTAGCAGACAGGACTTTAAAGAATTTAAGGACTAGAAAACACAATCTGTGAGTTTATGAACCCACTGAACAGCTCTAATAGCAGCTTGGCTATCGCAGAAGGCATGATCAATTAAATCAAAAAGAATTTAATAAAAATTAAAGAGAAGGAATTAAACTGAATTTAAAGAGAACATAGTTAGGGGATGAAGAAGACAGTCATATGTATAATTGAGTCACGGAAGAAACGGACAAAAAATGGAACAACAGAAAATCTGAAGAGACAATGGCCAAGAATTCTCCAAAACTGATGCATGACACCAAATGCCAAATCACAAGAAGTCGGGACAAAGCCAAAGAAAACCACATCTGGGCTCATCTGGTAAAAATGTTAGAAGACCAAAGAAAAACGTAATCAGTCTACAGGGAAATAATGAACAAGATTTCCAACACAAACAGTAAGACAGACATCTGACTTTTGCACAGAAACAACAGATACCAAAGACAATGGAACAAAATGATTCACATGTGAGAAGAAAAAGCTGGCAAATCTAGAAAACTAGACCCATGACAATACTCTTCAAAAGTGAAATGAGCCATAACTGGTGTGGCTTAGTGGGGTGGAGTGTCAGCCTGCGGACTGAAGTGTCCCAGATTTGATTCTTGTCAAGGGCATGTACCTTGGTTGTGGGCACATCCCCAGTGGAGGGGGTGGGAGTTGCAGGAGGCACCTGATCAATGTTTCTCTCATCAATGTTTCTAACTCTCTATCCCTCTCCCTTCCTCTCTGTAAAAAAAATCAATAAAAAATATTTTTAAAAACTGAAATGAGGGGGGGGGGGGCAATGTTAAAATATGTACACAGATAATAATTTTAAAATAAATAAATAGATAGATAGATAGATAGATAGATAAAATAAAAGGGAAAAAAAAACAAACTGAAATGAGCCCACCAGTGTGGTTCAGTGGTTGAGCATTAACCCATGAACCAAGAGGTCACTGGTTCGATTCACGGTCAGAGCACATGCTCAACTTGCGGGCTCTATCCCCAGTAGGCAACGTGCAGGAAGCAGCCAATTGATGTTTCTCTCTCATCAATGTTTCTATCAATATATCCCTCTCCCTTCCTTTCTCTTTAAAATCAATAAAAGCATATTTTTTTTAAAAATGAAATCAAAATTAAAACTTTCCAGAAAAACAAAAGCTGAAAGAATTCATCAGCATCACTATAAATATTAAAAAGCAAGTTCTTTAGGTAGAAGGAAATGATGGCAAATGGAAGCTGGAGGGAGTGAACAGTACTATCCAGGCAGTTGTAAAAAAGCGTAAGGAAAATCTGGCATAAAAACCACAACACTCACTGTGGCACATGCAGTTCCTGCAGAAGCAGCAGCAGCACAATGGGCAGGACAGATGAGGTGATTAGAATGCACTTATCTAAAGTAGCAATTTTCAACCTTTTTCATCTGATGGCACACATAAACTAATTGCTAAAATTCTGCAGCACACCAAAAGATGTATGTTTTGTCAATCTGACGAAAATAGAGTATACTGTATAATTTTGATTTATTCACACCAGACATCTATTATTTGTGTTAGCTGTTGCCATTTTTTTATTTGACAATCTAAGGGAAATGAGGTCAGTGCCCCCAACTAAGTAGTCAAGTATTGATGTTTTAAAAATTCTTGTGGCATGTGGTAGGATAATCACTGAAAAGATAATATAAAAATTAAAACATCATCTCAAAGAGGAAGAAAAAATAGAATAAAACTACTTGACTAATCAAAAAGAAGACAAGAAAAAATAAAGGGGAGGGGGAAACAGATGGAATAAGGAAAAAGCACATCGAAGATGGTAACTTATCCCACCTATTTTCACAATTGCATGAAAAATAGTCCAAAATGTTACTGGACTACATATTCCGTATTAAAAGGCAAAAGAGAATCAGACTGGATTAAAAAAAAAAAAAAAAAAAATTAGATCCAAAAATATGCAATACACAGAAAATACACTTCAAATATAAAACACAGAAAGCAGCATTTACAAAATAGACTAAATACTGGCCATACCGGGCCCGGAGCAGCCGGGCCCAGAGCAGCCAGGTCGGGTGCGGCCAGGCCCGGAGCAGCAGCAGCCACGCCTGGAGCAGCCAGGTCGGGAGCGGCAGTGGCCAGACCCGGAGCAGCTGGTTGTGGAACGGACCAGAGCAACAGAGGCCAGGCCCGGAGCAGCCAGGCCCAGAACAGCTCGCTCCTTGCCTGCCTCCGCCCCAAGGCTGCCTCTCAGACATGGCTGGAAACTTTTGGGGGAACTTGACGGTCTGCTGAATCAAGTGATGAAGGCTTAGATCTGGATGTGTTAAGTCAGTATAGTGCTGGGGTGTTGATCTGTGAGTGCCTTGTGTGGGGCCTGGATGAGGTTGGTTGATCTACTTGGAAATGTCTTTTGTGTGAAGTGTATCCTTGGGCATGTGGAGGTATTATTGATTTGAGAAAATGCTAAGAAACTGATTTACTATCTGAAAAATTTAAAGTTCTGAAAGTTTAAGGTCTCTTGCCAAAAAGAGGTTTTAAAGCTAACACCTTAATTTTAATGGAGAAAGGGAATGACAAGCCCTTCCCACCCAGAACAGGTAATCCAATTCCAACCAGCAGCTATGTTTAAACAATGTGTCCATTTACACTTGAATGGCTACACCTTTTGATAGCCTAAGGGCAAGTTTACATGTAAACAAGTTTGCTCTCAATTCCCAGGGCAGAAAAAAAAAACAAAAAAACAAGGTTTAAAATTATTAGATTTTAAAATTTATTCTTAGAAGTGTAAAAGTTTATTAATTTTAAAAAAAGGAGATTAAAAAACCTGATGAACAATAATAGCGGTTCATTGTAGTAGGGTCAGCGATATGGGAGGGGAGTGGACTGACTGTTCTGGGGGGGGGGGGAGGGAGGAAGAGACAGAACATAAACTGTGCACCTATGGATGAGGACAATGGGGGGTGGGGAGGGGGCGGAGGGTGGGGTGGGAACCTGGTGGAAGGGGGAAGAAATGAGGAACCTTTGTAATAATATGAACAATAAAGATTGATTTTAAAAAAAAATACTGGCCATAAAACAAGGCTCAACTCATTTCAAAGGACTGATATCAGAGTATGTTCACTGGACTTCAACTAGAAATCAGTAACAGGAGGATAACTAGGAATTCCCCGAGGTTTGGAAATTAAACAGAATGCTTCTAAAACACCCCTGAGTGGGAGAAGTTATCACAATGTGAACTACAGAATAACAAACTAAAATGAAATAAACTCTGAAGAAAGAATACAGATAAAAATAAAAATGAATTAGGTAGCCATCAGACAACAGAGAAAACTCTCGATAAAAAGCAATGAAAGTAACAAACACCTAATAAGACTGATCAAAAGGGACTGAAAAGGAGAAAATGCAAAATACAAATATCAGGACTCAAAAAGAGGACATCACTATAGATTCTACAGACATTAAGAAGATAGGATATTATGATATTTTTTACGATAAAGTTAGCACTTACTAGTGGAATAAATGCCTAAAAAATGCAACCTATCAAAAACAAACAGAAACTCTAGATAGAGCTATATTATTAAATATACTGAATTTGTAACTAAAAATCTTCTTCCACAAACATGAAACTAAAGTAAAACCCAGGCCCAGACGGCTTCAGTGAGGAAGAAGAAATATTAACAATCTCACACAAGTTCTCCCTGATGTTAGTAAAAGGCACTTCCCAGCATACCTGACCCCAAAGCCTACCAAGGACAAACACAAAATAAAATGACAGGCAGTGTCACGTCAACAGACAAGCGAATTTACAAACTTACAAAAACATGCAACAATACAGGGAACATGACACACAAGATGCACATGCCATACACATGGATCTAATCCTTTGCCCAAACTGCCTACAACAAAGCAAGACATCCCATCACACCCATGTCCCAGCCTCTGCCCTGGGAGACCATACCCTTTACTAAGGGTCTCTGTCTCCCTTGTCTGTCCCACCTCACCCCCTACACCCAACCCCTCCTCCAATCCTGGCTGCTGAATCATAGGGGAGTGGGGGGAAGCCTCCTGAGAAAAGAGTGCCAGCCCCCGAGCCTGGGGCAAGAAAAACAAGACTCAATAGGTAAATGACTTCACATCCTGTTTTCTTCTCCTGTAAATGGAGGCAACAATTCCTACCTTAAAGAACAAAAGCCTCTACAGACAGACATACAAATATCAAGTCCAGGTTAGGGAGTACCCTGAAAGACAAAGCAGGACAGGGGGACACTGGTTTCTGGAGGGTACTGAGACAGGACACAGACAAGGGAAGAGAGGCCTGTGGGGTAAAAGTGGGGAAGAGCATGGGTGCCCAGAGGAAACGTGCAAAGCCCTGGGCGGGAGGCAAGTCTCCCCCCTTACTTCCTCCTGCCCACTGAGCACTCCGCAAAGCTGCTGCCACAGCTGGCACAGGGCGGGCACCTGAGCCAGCCTGAGCCCCTCAGAAGATTGGGGAACTAGGTCTGACTGGATGTGCAGCAAGTTCCTTCTTGCCTGGAGTGGGGTTTTCATCTTTTATCCCTGTCCCCACCAGGATCCAGGCCCCACTTACTCTTCTCACCATGTCGGTTCAAGTGCAGGTTGTTGAGGTCGGCTTGGAACTGAGGCCCAACCATGATCTCCTGCAAAGGCAAAGGCCCAGGAAAGTCAGGGCAGGTGGGAGGCCCAGCCACTTTTCAGAGCCCAGGGCTGTGTTGGTCTGTGCAATCTTTCCACAGATGCCAAGTCCTATGGTCTGAGAATGGGAGGCAGAGACCTGGGTGTGTGTGGGGGGGGTGAGGGACCGTCTGTCTCCATTTACTTATCCATCTGTTCAGTATAGCCAGTCATGTGTCAAGGGGATGAGACCTGAGGACCCAGGTGTCCTGATGCCCAGCTCAGAGCACTCAGGACAGGACCTTGGGGCCACATCCCTGGGCCAGCCAATGCCACAGCAGCACAGGCTCAAGGTCCCAACACCTTCTCAGAGGGTGTGCATGTCTCCACCCCAGGACCAAGCAGAGACCCACATTAAAGGTACTGCAGGGTCAGGGCCACATACCTTCTTACATTTGTTGGCAGGAAGAGGGTCCTCTTCAGTGTCAGATGAGGTGGAAGAGCTTAGCTCTTTCTCTGTGCCAGTCAGGAAGTGGGCTTTGGGAAAGGGGATGCAGGTGAGACACAGCTGTGGCACTGGGTAGCTCCCCAGCTAGTGGATCCCCAGGTCTTCACTGCTGCGGCCTCCACCCCACTCTCCATCCACTTGTTCCCCACACCATGCCACTCCTGAGAAGAGGCATGTCCCAAGACCTGGCCAGATGACAGGTGCGCAATGGGCAAAGGTATGGGGATTTGCTAACTGCCAGCTGTGAGCCCCCAACACCTCATGCGGCTGGGACACTGCCTCCGCATCTGACCCGCCTTTTGATTCCAAAAGCTATAGGAATCAACACATCCCCTTCTCCTGTAAACTAAAGCCAATCAGTCTCAGCTCACTGGTCAGGGAGATGAAAACCACAGAGAGACTCAGATAGAGAACAGGGCACCGCAGAGGCACCCTCATTCTGAGTCTGAGTTATCTGCCCCCAGTAGCCCAGGGCCCCCCGTCTGCATCACTAGAGCCTTGCTCCACCCAGCCCAAGTGGAGGGGCAGGCAGGACACCTACGTCCACTCTGGCTAGGGAAAAGGTCAGAAGCCTCGTGGGAGGTAACAGATGGGGTGAGATCATCGGCCGAGGACTGTGTCTCTTCCTCTTCTTCCCCTGAAAGCAAATCCTTCGCTATTTGTTCCTTTTAACAAAAAGTAAAGAACATTTTTTGCAGTTTGTCTGAACAATCTTCAGATAATACTAATAACAACAGTGACACTAACTTGATGGCCCTCCCCCTGGGAACAGCAAGGGCTCACGTGGGGCTGTTCTTCCCACTCTGCAGAGGAGACTAGGGGCCAGGGCAGGGCAGCCACGGGGCCAGCATGGATGCTTGTGATCCCTGAGCCCAAACCATGCAGTCTAGAAAGGGATATCACCTGTGCTTGGCCTGGGACGGTCCGAGCCGCCAGCCACTGCTCCCTCCTCGTGCACCCCCTCCTGGCAGACTTTATTACCAAAGTTGAAACAAGACTGGAGTCAGGACCTCACTCATTCTCTTCCTTCCCAGCTGCGTTTCTCCAGCCCAGTTTCCACTCTGTCCCTCTTTTGGCCAATGGTCAGAGTCTTTTCATCTCAGTTCCCTCTCTATGGCCACTCTAACCCTGAATGCATCAGCTAGGACTCTGGGAAGCAAGAGAGTCCCTCTAAGAAGTAATCTAGGCCTCGCACTTCTGCTTTTCTGAGGCCTTCATGCCCGCCCTCCCTAAATCTTCCCACGAGTTCCAGGGAGAGCCCCACTCACCTTGTCCAGAGTCATGTCTGGGAGGGTGGCTGTGGCATCGCTGCCCTCACTCTCCCGCTCCGAAATGGGGTCTGTTGTCTCATAGCCATAGAGGGCAAGCAGCTCGTCCAGGGGCATGTCACTGCTCTGAGGGGGAAGAGGGCTCTGTCAGGAGGGGCTGTTCTAGGCGTTCTGCTTCCCCAGGGCCAATTTGTCACATTCTGGAAACTTACCCCAGCCAGACCCCAGGTCCAGTCCTTTACCCAAGGACTCCCTTACAACCCCCAGGATAGCACAGATAAGACACCAGAGCCCAGAGAGGTCAGGCATGTGCTCCAGGTCACCAGCCTTAAAGGGTGGAGCCAGGACTGACCTCAGTCCACACTGCACTGCCCAGAAACACTTTCCTGCTCAAAACCGTTCAGACTTGATTCCAGAAAGGCAAGGATGGCATGGTATCTGGAAATCTATCAGAACTCATGACATCAATAAATCAGGAGGGCAAAGGCATTTAAATGTCTGGACAAATGTGGAAAATGCATCTGGTAAAATCCAACACCCACCTGATTTTATATAGTACTCAGTACACTAAGTAAAGAGATAGATGCCCAATCAGTGTGACAGAGATGCTGTCAGCCCTCACTGGGCAACAATGCACAGCCAGAACAACCCCAGCAGTCAGAAGAGGAAGGCAGGATTGGGAACACCAGAACTACTCTCACTTTTTTTTTTTTTTAATCCTCAGCTAAAAATATATTTTTCATTACTTTTTCAGAGAGTGGAAGAGAGGGAAGGAAAGCGAGGAAGGTAGAGAGAGGCATTGATGTGAGAGAGATACATCGACTGGTTGCCTCCACACATGCCCCAATCTGGGCCAGGAATCAAACCTACAACCCAGGTACATGACCAGGAAATGAACCTGCAACCCTTTGATCAATGGGCTGGTGTTCTAACCACTGAGATCACCATACTCACACTGTTTTGATACTTTGAGCCCATCTGATAGAATAAGAAAGGGAAATAAGACATTTATTTATTTACTAGAGGCCTGGTGCATGAAAATTGATGCACTGGATGGGGTAGTCCCTCAGCCCGGCCTGCCCCCTCTCACAGTCTGGGAGCCCTCCAGGGCAGGAGACCACCTGGTGATCAGGGGAAGGCGACACCCCCATCACAACTCTGCTGCTGCTATTGCCAGCAGCGCAAGCCTCGGCCAGCCATGGTTACCTGAGCCTTGGGCAGCCCTGGGCAGTGGGGCAGCCGCCATCCGAGGCTTGCCTGCACTTTGGGCCAGCCCTGGGCGGCTGGGAGGCTGAGAGGACTGGGGGACTCTGGAGGCAGGTGCATGGAGCGGCCGGGCCTTGCCACACACCTCCTGCCCCAGCGAGGGGGACTGGACACCACCATCTTGTGGCTGTGGGCACCTCCATCTTTAAGGGCGGGGTAGTCAATTAGTATATTCCCTCCTTATTGACTGGCCAATGGTCAGAGTCAAATATGCTAATTGTCCTGCTCCTTGAGAGCAGGACAATTAGCATATTCCCTCCCTATTGGTTATGAGTATCGCCATCTTTGAGGATGGGGCAGTCAATAGCATATTCCCTCTTTATTAGCTAGGATTTTTCTTTTCTTTTCTTTTTTTTATTTTTTATTTTTTATTTTTTTTTTTAAATATATTTTATTGATATTTTACAGAGAGGAAGGAAGAGAGATAGAGAGCTAGAAACGTCAATGAGAGAGAAACATTGACCAGCTGCCTCTTGCACACCCCCTACTGGGGATGTGCCCACAACCAATGTACATGCCCTTGGCCGGAATCGAACCCGGGACCTTTCAGTCCGCAGACCGACGCTCTACCACTGAGCCAAACCGGCTTCGGCTCTTTTCTTTTTTTTAAAAATATATTTTATTGATTTTGTACAGAGAGGAAGAGAGAGATATATTATAGTTAGAAACATCAATGAGAGAGTCATCGATCAGCTGCCTCTTGCACACCCCCTACTGGGGATATGCCCGCAACCAAGGTACATGCCCTTGACCGGAATCGAACCCGGGACCTTTCAGTTCCCAAGCCGACGCTCTATCCATTGAGCCAAACTGGTTTCGGTGGATTTTTGTTTTCTTAATCCTCACCCAAGGATATTTTTCCATTGTTTTTAGAGAGTAGAAGAGAGAAGGAAAGACAGAAACATTGATATGAGAGAAACACATCAACTGGTTGCCTCCTGAATAACCCTGACCAGGGCCTGGGCAGGGGAGGAGCCTGCAGCCGAAATATGTGCCCTTGACCGGAAACAAAATCGGGAGCCTTCGGTCCTCAGGCTGATGCTCTATCCACTGAGCCAAACCAGCTAGGGCTGGATATAAGACATTTAATCATTAGAGAGAAACAAAGAAAAACTTCTACTACCTTCCTCTCCAGTATTGCTTTCAAATTGGTTTCTCACTCTCCTGTAAACCTCTACTCCTCTGACCACACTCTGTCCTGACCCCAGGGGTCACTGTCAGCCTCCAACCTCCTGAGCATTCCTTCTCATTCTTTCTGGAGTCAACTTCTGCCCTGCCCTTGTGCTGGGACTTCCATTGCTGTGGAAGACCACCCAGCTTCCACCCAGCCCTTCCTCTAAACCAAGTGCTAATATGACGAAGGATCATTTTGCCCATCACAGTTTCTAATTATGCATTGGTTGCAGGGGTTCACACAGTGGCCCAAAGATTCCCTGGGACCTTCACAACACTATGATGACATTAATCCATCATTTGTGCTGATGCAGCAATCAATGGTTTCTGGACAGTGTCCTGCAATGAAGGCAGGAGCACAAAGTGTGTGAGTTGCCAATGCATGTTCCTTACTGCCACCCACTCAGTTTTAAAATGATGCTAGTTTCAATTACGAATATCCTGTGGTTCAGTGGTTAGATCGTTGGTCAGAGCACCAAAGGGTCACAGGTTTGATTCCTGGTCAAGGGCAGGTACCTGGGTTGCAGGTTCAATCCCCGGTCCTGGTTGGGTCACAAGCAGGAGGCAATCAATTGATGTCTCTCTCACATCGATGTTTCTCTCTCTTTCTCTCTCTATCTCTCTCTCTCTCTTCCTCTATCTCTCCCTCTCTCCCTCCCTCCCTTGCACTTTCTCTAAAAAAAATCAATGGAAAAAATATCCTCAGGTTAGGATTAACAAAACAAAACAAAAAAAGGAGGGCAGAAAACAACAGTTTGTCAGGTGGTACCAGGCACACATCATCTCAAATTTAGTGGGAAGCTACTTCCAAAGAAATGACTGCTGTGATTGCTGTGAGAGTAAAATGAGTTTTTAAGCAAAAAATTCTAATTTTGGAAAACATAGATGTGACAATGTGAACTTGATCATTCCCACAGCCTTGGGTAATAGGTAATACAAAATGAAAGGGTTTCTGCTTTTACTTTAATTTTTAAGAAAATCTAGACCTAGGTATCCTACGTAATAAAAGAGTAATATGCAAATTAACATCACTCACTAGCCACACCCACCAGCCAATCAGAGCAAGTATGCAAATTAACTCCAACCACAAAGAGTAGTTGAGAGGCTCGGGTTTCCCTGGCAATAGAGGAAGCCAAGCTTTCCATACACCCTGGCCTCCACTCAAGAATACGAAGTTTCAATTATAGAAGATAAATCCCAAGAAAAATGGCGGCAGCCACAGAGAGAACAGACTAGAGTTGCCCCTGGTGACAGAGAAAGCCAAGCTTTCCACCTGCTTTGGCTGGCCTAGGTCTCCACTCAAGGATACAAAGTTTCAATTATAGAAGGTAAACAAATCCAAACAGAAATGGCTGCAGCCATGGAGCAAGTAGGAGGCATGGCTCCACCCCAGGCTACAAAGTTTCAATTGTAGAAGGTAAATAAATTCCAGATCCCAGGGACTCTGTTTGGGTCGCCAGGGGGCATGGCCGGCCTGCAAACCACCACAGACCCCCTTGTCCAGGCCACCCCCACCGCAAGGGAACCCAACCCTGACCTGGGACACCCTTCAGGGCAAACAGCTGGCCCCCACCCCTGCACTAGGCCTCTATCCTATCTAATAAAAGAGTAATATGCAGATTGACCATCACTCCAATAACAAGATGGCTGCCCCCATGTGATCAAAGATCCTGCCCCTATGTGGACACAAGATGGCCACCATAAGATGGCCAGCCGGGGAGGGCAGTTGGGAGTGACCAGGCCTGCAAGGGAGGGCAGTTGGGGGCAATTAACCCTGCAGGGGAGGGAAGGTAGGGGTGACCAGGCTGGCAGAGGATGGAAGTTGGGGGCAAACAGGCTGGCAGGGGAGCAGTTAGGCATCAATCAGGCTGGCATGGGAGTGGTTAGGGGGTCATCAGGCTGGTAGGCAGAAGCAGTTAGGGGCAATCAGGAAGGCAGACAGGCAAGCAGTTGGGAGACAGCAGTCCTGGATTGTGAGAGGAATGTTCCCAATTAGAGAGTGTGCAGGCAGGGCTGAAGGACATCCCCTACCCCGTGCACAAATTTCGTGTACCGGGCCTATAGTTTAGCTAATAAATAGCTGATTTAGATGTGAAAGTTCTGAGAAATTTTAAATTCATGTAGAACTTTAAAAAAAATTTTTTTTTAAAGAAGACATTTGTTTTGGTTATAAGAGCAAACTGGCACCAAGTGATCCATGACAACAAGCTAAACAAATGCCCGATGGTTAGTCCTTAAAAAAAACAAACAAACAAAAAAACAATACTTAAAGACATCTCATAAAATCAGTGTTGGAACTGTTATGGATTAAATGTTTGTGTTCCCCACCCCAAATTCATTGTTGGGTGCTTAATCCCCAATCTGACTATATTTAGAGATGGGTCTTTATGGAAATATTTAAAGTTAAATGGGATCATGAGTGTGGGACCCTGACTTCTGATCTGATAGAAAAACTCTCTCCCCACCATGTGAGGACCTGATAAGAACGCAGTGTCTGCACACCAGGAAGTGGTCACCCCACAGTCTTGTAAGACCTTTATCTAGGACTTCTGGCCTCTAGAACTGTAAGAAAATAAATATCTGGTGTTTAAGCTCCATGGTCTCTGGTATTAACAAATGTGTGTTTTTAGATTTTATACTGTAAACTGTCGACATATGGAAGATCTACTTGTTAGAAAACCAGGATTTTGCAAACATGTCACCAGTGCAAAGATGACAAGGTCACACCTGGGTTAAGATACACACCAAGTTCAAGATCATTAGATTGTGGCATAACCAAGTACAGGAAGCTCACTAGATATGGCTACAGGGGAGAAACCAAGATGGCGGCATAGGTGATCTAGTTGCTGAATTTTGGTCCAGCATCAAAAAAATAGCTGAAACCGGTTTGGCTCAGTGGATAGAGCCAAAAAGTCCCAGGTTCGATTCCGGTCAAGGGCATGTACCTTGGTTACGGGCACATCCCCAATAGGGGGGTGTGCAAGAGGCAGCTGATTGATGATTCTCTCTCATCGATGTTTCTAACTCTCTATCCCTCTCTCTTCCTCTCTGTAAAAAATCAATAAAATATATTTTTTTTTAAAAATAAATAAATAACCATTAACTATTTAAAAGGTTGTTAAAATCTCTACCCTTTTTTCATGATCATCTGCATGAGGTCAAATTCACACTTCAACCAGAACACATCACAACAGACACATCTGCCAGGACAGCAGCTAGATTCTCTTACACTGTTCCCACAGTCAGAGATTTACACAAATGTAAAATTACTCCACTCTTCTAAATTTTATTTTTGTTTTGGAAAAGTTATTTTTTTATTTTCATAAAAATCTGTTATTTCTATTAACAATGAGCTTACTGCCGGGACCGGTTTGGCTCAATGGATAGAGCGTCGGCTTGGGGACTGAAGGGTCCCGGGTTCGATTCCGGTCAAGGGCATGTACCTTGGTTGCGGGCACATCCCCAGTGGGGGGTGTGCAAGAGGTAGCTGATCGATGACTCTCTTATCAATGTTTCTAACTCTCTATCTCTCTCCCTTGCTCTCTGTATAAAATCAATAAAATATATTTTTAAAAAAAACAATGGGCTTACTGCATCATCAAAGCTGCTTGAGGTCCTCAATAACTTTTAAGAGGATATCGAGTTCTGAGGTCAAAAAGTTTGAAAATGATAGGTTTAATGTCCAGCTACCCCACTACTCTATAACCTTAGCGCCCCTTGAAGACAAGACAGGCTGGTCTGTCCCTTGTGACCTCAGCTTCTAGCACCGGGCCTGGAGCTTTGCAAACAGATGTGCAAGTAGAACTTGTCATTGCAGAATCTGAACAGCTTGCAGATCAATTCAGCCAGAAGAAACTGTGGAGTTTGCCCAGCAGGGCCCCACCCACATGGGGTATAGGGCTCAGCTGAGCCAAGTACCTGGGAAATGAAGTCCTTGTCCAGCTCCTCCTCAGGCTGTGCTGGGCGTCTTGTGGTCCCTTCACACTCCTCCCGGATGCCGTAGTTCTGCGAGAGGATCTCTGCGAGGTTGAACTGCTGGTCTGCAGAGCCCATTGACACACCTACAGAGGGGACACCACCTGCATCAGCTCCTCACCCCACCTGTCTCCATGCATATATGAAAGGTGTGTATGTGCATACATGTGCATCGACAAAGCTGTGTTAGGCTGTACATGTGTATTTTTACACACGCACACATGTGGTGGGGGCATGTTCACATGAGGGTGTGTATGCGCGTGTGCGTGTGTGCACGCAGCTATGTATACCTACGTGCATGACATGTGTTCGTCTGAATGTAGTGTGTGCACAAGTACATTTATTTCTGTGTGCATTATGAGGCTGTGTGAATATGTGAGGCTGTGTGTGTACACGCATGTAGTCAGCAATGTCAGTCTACACCGTGGGAACTCCCAACAGAAGGACTTCTGACAAGAGTACATCTAGCTAACTGCACACAAATTCTAGGCATTTTAGGGATGTGCTTTCCTGACCACAGACACTTGTGAGGGTCTGGGGAGAGAACAGGTGAACAAGGAAGAGATGAGCCCCAGATGAGTCAGCATGAATACAGCACAGGGACCCAACAAAGGTAACTCCACACCTGGTGCCTGCATGGCTTGGGCAAGGCCTTCAGCTCAGGAAACACAAGGGTGATGCTATGCACCCACTTCTGGGAGTCATTGCAGAGACAGTACCAGGAGAATGCCAGTGAATAGCATGCAATAGGTCCTCCTTCTCCCTCTTCACCACAGCAGTGTTCCATGCACGGCCCAATGGGTGGTAGATGTTACCAGATTTTGAGTTTTCCCAAAAGAGCTAAGATGTATCCACTGCTATCTCGCCATGATTGGTCTTCAGTAAATTGAATTTTACAAACAAAATCAACCCAAATCATGGAGCCATGAAGGTCAAGGCTGGTCCTCCAAGTGAGTCCGAAGCACACAGTATCATGAGAAGGAGTACAGGGGCCAGGCAGTTGGGGACAAGTGGCCAGCTCAGGAAAAGTGCAGGATACCCAAGGATGGTGCCCACTCAGCACCCATTCTACCTCCCTCAGCCCTTCCGTTTTCCTTCAGCCATGACACAGGCACTCTGATCCTCCCCTGGGTAGCCTGGCCCCCAATATAGAATGGGAATCAGAGTCCTGGCCACTCTGTCTGTACCCCTGTCCCTGGACTCCGTCTGCACACCGCCTCTGTCTTGCCAGGCTGAGCAAGGTTCTTACAATGACAGTGGCCCTGACAGCCCCGGGCAGGAGGAAGGTAGGGGCAAAGGAGGCACCTGCTGTGGTCGGTAACCCAGGCTCCCTTGGGCACAAACTGTGAGTAAGGCAGGAGACCACTTGAGGGCTCTGCCTCTCCAGCGAGGAGGCCTGCAAAGGAAGAGAAACAGGGTTAGTTCAACCAGCCTAGAACCCACTGAAAGCAAGTCTGGCTCTCTGAGTGGCCTCATCTAGACTCTGTGGGATAACGCATGCAGGCTGCTTCCAAGAGCTGAGGAGAGAACACTGATAGTGGATCTGGGCATGCAGCTGCTAGAAGCTATTCCCCTGCTCCTAAGTCAAGCACACGGAGGATACACTGAAGTAGGCTTATACAGCAGCTCTAAACATCAGAACTTCAATGTCTTCATCTCCAAGTGGGAAAACAGCACCCACAGGGAACTGTGAGGAGCCTGACAGCCAGTGCCTAATAGTGGTTATCACCCACCCAGGACACAAGAACCAGGTAACCTAGTCTCACACACAGTCCTACTGCACACACCCAACAGGCATTCACTGAACAGCCATGCCTGACACGTGGTCCATTACACATGGGTCCCAGCCTTCAAAAAGCAAAATAGCCATTCTTGGAACACCTAGAAATTCCTCTAAAAGTAAGCATAGAGTTATCAAATGACCCAGCATTTAATTCCACTCCCAGGTGCATACCCAAGAGGACTGAAAACATACATTCATACTAAACATGCACGTTCACACGTTAGCATGATTCACAAAGGCCAAAAGAAAAAGCAACCCAAAAGTCCTACAGCAGATGATGGATAAACAAGATGCTGTCTATACACACACTAGAATATGACTCAGCTATGAAAAAGAAGGGAAACACTGATAGAAAACACAAAAGGCCACACAGTATGTGATTCCATTTATGTGACATGTCCAGAACAGGCAAACCCAGAGACAGAAAGTGGACTCATGGTTACCCGGGACTGGAGAGGGGGTAGGATGACTACTGATGGGGTCAGACAACCTTTTGGGGTGATGAAAATGTCCTAGAACTAGATAGAGATGACAGTTTTAAAACTTTATGAGAATACTATAAACCACCGAATTCCACATTTTAAATGGTTATATTTTGTGGTATAATAAAAACCTCAACTTTTTTTTTTTAAAGGTCAACAAACTAGGAAAGAATAGAAACTACTCATAAAGAACCCCTGAGGAAGTCCAATAACACCCCTTAGTGGTGAAAGGCACAAGGCAGGAATGCCCGCCTTCACCATGTCTGTTCTAAGTAGCACTGGAGGTTCTAGTCAGGGCAAGAAAATGTAACAGAAGGAATCCAAAATGGAAAGGGAAAAGTAAAGCTCTTTCTTTTTGCAGACAAAATAATCTTGCATAGAAGGTACAATAGAATCCACTGAAAACTTATCTGAACTAATAAATAAGTTCAGCAAGGTAGCAAATCACAAGACCAACATATAAAAATAAATTTTATTCTCATATATTAACAATTAACAAGCCAAAAAGAAAATTAAGGAAACAATTCCATTTATAACAGCCTCAACAAGAATAAAACACATAGGAATAAATTTAGCAAAAGTTAGAAACTTGTAATCTAAAAAGTATAAAACATGTTGAAAAAAATTTAAGAGCTAAGCAAGTGGAAAGACAACCTATATTCATTGCTCAGAAGATTTACTATGGTTAAGATGTCAATATTTCCCATCCGAGCTACAGATTCAATGCGGTGCCTATCAGAATCTTAGCTGGCTTTACATATCTACTGCCAAACAGATTCCAAAAATAGTATGCAAACTCAAGGGGGCCAGAGTAGCCAAAACAATCTTGAAAGAGAACACTCCTGATTTCAAAATTACTACAAAGCTACAGCAATCAGAACAATGTGGTACTGGCATAAGGCTGGGCATTGAAATCAAAGGAATAAAAACGAGAATCCAAAAATAAACCCACATATTTACCATCAATTGAATTTTTACAAAGGTGACAAAACAATTCAACGGGGAATGAACAGCTTTTTCAACAATGATGCTAGGATAACTAGGATATTCACATGAAAAAGAACAGAATTGAACACCTATCTTACACCATATACAAAAATTAACTCAAAATAGGACAAAGACCTTAAATATGAGAGCTAAAGCTATCAAACTCTTAGAAGGAAACATAGGGATAAATCTTTGTTACATTGGACTAGGCAATGGTTTCTGAGATAAGACACCAAAAGCACAAGCAACAAAAGAAAAATTGATAAACTGGACTTCATAAAAATAAAAGACTTTTGTGCTTCAAAGGACATTATCAAGAAAGTGAAAAGACAACTCACAGAATGGGACAAAATACTTGCAAATCATATAGCTGAAAAGGACTTGCATCTAGAATATATAAAGAATTCTTACAACACATTAATAACAAGATAACCTATTTTTAAATGGGTTAAGGGTCTGAAAAGACATTTCTCCAGAGATGCACAAATGGCCAGCCAATAAGCATGTGAAAAAATATTCAACATCAGAGGAAATCAAATAAAAACACAGTAAGATACCACTTCATAACCACAGAATGACTAGACTAAAAAGACAGAACAAGTTGTGTCAGGAAGAATGCAGCCCATCCAGGAGGGAATGTAAAATGGAGCAGCCACTTTGGGAAACAGTCAACAGTTCCTCCAAAAGTTACTACAATGTTAACCAGCAATTTCACCTCTAGGGATTCAGAGTATGCCACCCCAAAATGCACCACTCTGGCGTAAGGATTATTTCAAGCAGAAGACAACTGAGAAAACCAGACACAGGATGAGCTGAAAGCTCCTGTGAGGGTGCCCCCCAAAACCAGGAAGAGAGCCCCCTTATCACTGGGGACAAGATAAGAATCTGCACCAAGAGAGTATCTGCACACACAGATCTTACTAACGCACCTGATTTTCCACTAGTTCCCCCATGCTTACCTTCCCACAACTTGATGCCCTTAGAAACTCAGTCCTTTTCCTTTGTCATCACTCCTCTAAGATTTACTGTTCTTTTGTTCAGATGCTACTGAAGCCCAAATCCCCCCCCCCCCCCCCCCCAGTTACTCATCACCTAGCTCTCCCATGTGACGGGCACTACTTGTTCCACTCTTGTTAGTTAGGCTGCCTTTCGTCAGTTTAAATCACAGGAACCCTGAGATCAACCAAAGGACTTATATGCGTGCAATGGACACAGACAACGGGTGTGTGTGTGTGTGTGTGTGTGTGTGTGTGTGTGTGTGTGAGGGCATGAGTGAAGCAGGGGAGCGGCAATGGGGTGATAAGGACACATATGTAATACCATAATCAATAAAGAAAAAAAAATTTAATGATTTTTTAAAAATCACAGGAACCCCAAGGAGAACCTACAAGAGTTAAAGGGACAAAGTTAGGCTCCTCCTCCCCTATGTCTACACTGAAAACTGCATATGAACGTTCATAGCAGGATTTCTCCCAGTAGCCAAAGGTGGAAAGAACCCTAATGTCCATCTGCTGATGAACAGAAATAGCAAACAGAACAATAATATATTACTCAGCCATGACAAGGAACAAGGCACTGACACTTGCTACCACATATGAACTTGAACACATGATGGTCAGTGAGAGAAGCCAGACACAAAGGGCCACAAAGTATGTGATTCCATTTATGTGAAATGTCCAGAAGAGGCAATCCACAGAATCAGAGAATGGGGTCATGGGTGCCAGGGACGGGGGAGGAGGATGGAGAGGGACAACCAAGGAATACAAGTTTCTTTTGGGGTAATGAAAATGTTTTAAAATCAATGAATGATAGTTGCACAACTCTATGAATATACTAAAAACCACTGGGTTGTACACATTAAAACAAGTGAATCATACATCAATAAAGCAGTTTGAAAAAAAAAAAAAAGGAAAAAAAAGGAAAAGGATTAGAATATTTACTAAAATAAAGTTTTAAAATTTAGGGAAAAAAAACTTCAGAAAGAATTTCCAAACTTTCTTCCCTCTCCCTACCCTGACTTCCAGTGCAAACCCACTCTCAATGGTGGGATTCCCACAGCTTCACTTCCCCTGTTCACAACCATCACAATTGCAGCAGTCACTGCTCCTTTTGTCAAGGTGGAAAAGAAAGAGGATGGGTGGCTGGTTAAGAGCATTCTGGGAAAAACAGTGGGGGGAAGGTGGGAGAGAAGAAAGACAGACAGCGTTCCAGAGACTTAGTCCCAAACAAGAGAGGGCGCATAACCTGGTGTCCAGGCCAGGTCTTTTGCGCACGAAGGAGGTTCAAAGGCGGTACAAGCTGATGGGCAGGAAGGCTGCCTGTCTGGAGGGGGACAGCCTTGACTCCTCAGGCTTGGAACAGCCCTTCTTCCAGGTCTGCATCTAATTGCTACTTAGCCCCTCCAGGTTTAGCCCCAGTGACATTGTGGCATATCCAATTCTCCAAGCTGGTGTGCCCCCCATAGGCTCTTCCCTTGTGAGGCTAATATGCTTGCCTGCCTTCAAGAGGTGGGGTTCTGCACCCCCTCACTGTCCGCAGGGGTGGGCCTGTGACTTTGGTGGGAGGGGCGCTAAGTGACTTTCTAGGTTAAGAGGTAAAATGCAACTCAGATTCCACCTGGTACCTTCTGAGACAGTCACTGTTGGAACCCAGCTGCCATGCTGTGAGGAAGCCCAAGCCACACAGGCCACAAGTAGGTGGCCTGCACCGGCAGCCACACCTGAGCAAGGAAGCTTTCCTTCCAGCCCCAGCCATCACCTGACTCCAACCACATGACTAGCTCCGAAACAATACTGCCTAACTGAACCCAGTCAACCCTCAGAACTATGAAACAGAACAATAAAATGATTGTTAGAAAAACTGAGTTTCCAGGTGACTCATTTCACAGCAATCATTAATGAAACATCCTTCACCCACACCAGCAGAGGTGGTCGGTCCCACGGGGCAGCACTGCATTGCTCCATTGGACAGCATTTACGGGAGTGCTTCCTCTGGGCCAGGAAAGGCAGGAGGCACTGGGTGCATGGAGGTCAATCAGAAACAGGTTCTGCCCATCTCCACCCACATGAGTTACTAGTCTAGTAGGTGACACAGATACAAACAAGTGAATATGCACAGTATTAAAGGAGAAAACAGGGTGGAGGGCCTGCACAACTGGGGTCAGGGAAAGCCTCTGAGGGCATCTCTAGGCAGGGCCTGTGGAGCACTGGAACAGCATTGTGGTAGCTGAGTCCCTCCAGGGTGCTGATATGCAAGAAAAAGGAAGGAGCCAGGGGATCGGTGTGGGTGACAGAGATCTGGGACCACACCACCAGGCGGGGACCACAGGAAGGGGATGCACTGCATCCAAAGGATAACGAAAGCCATGGGGGGAGGGAGGGTGTAAGGACAGGTACTTAGGTATGAGGAAAGCGGTATGAAGAACCCTGACTACTCTCAAGCACCGCCTCTCCTCTCCCAGTGCTGATAGGGTACTGATGGCTACTTTGGAGATGACGAAAAGCAGTTAATGCTGATCAAATGCTTACTGCTAGGTAACACATCACCATTTTCATCGGTTAGACAGCTAGTTATCAGTGATTTTATGAGGTTCAGCTTCTCTGTGCAAGTCCCTGTGGCCAGACCTCATGCAACCTCTTGCTCTTGGCTCTTCCCATTTCAGAGATTAGGAAACTGTGGCTGAGACATTCAATAAGCTGCCCCAAATCACAAAGAACAAGAGGCTCCAGAGCCACGAGTCTCCTAGGCAGAGGCTGGGCCATGGCTCATCTGTCTGACATTTGCACACTTGTTCCTTTATTGACCAGCAGCCTCCAAGGCCCTTTAGGACCATCACTGTTGGGTTTCTACTCACAGCCAGGCCCTCAGGGCCTCCCACAAAGCCAGGCATATAGGGGACCCCACATGTAGGCTTTCTCCAAGGAAACCAACTCAAATTCACTCAGAAGGGCACCACCCCAAACTGTCAACAAGGGTAACAGGGGCACCCAGGGCAACTGGTTGCTGTGAGGGTTCCAGAGCTTCAGCATTGAGCGAGGCAAAGTCAACAGCCAGACCCAGCAGCAATCAAGGCAGGCTGGCTGGGGAATCTGGTCCTTCCATCCATGACACACAGCTATCTTCCAGGCCAAGACTGCTGCCCAAATGGCACCTGGTGCCCAGGAAGACCACCACCCATGCCCCTGAGCCAAGAGCACACACACACACCTACTCAACCACCCCACCTCCCTCCAACCCACAAGACCAGCCACTGCCCCCATGAGGCCGGTTTCCCTAAATGCCCCTTAAGAAAGGAGGATTAACTCTCTTAAGACCCCTGTGGATTCAGGCACCCAGCACAAGGCCAGAACTGGCTGGAGAGGTCTACCCTTGCACCCAATTGCCCACACCCTCTTTGGCACAAATGCAGAGCCTGTTGCTGCCCCCCGAGAAAGTCCCTGGTGGGAAAGAATGGTCAGCCCTGCTCTCAAACACCTGCCCCTGTTCTGCCAAGACAAACGCTCAACATGGTGCCAAAACTGCTGCACCCCATTGGGTGAGCACCTTCCTCCCTGTTGGCCTCACCACCCATTCGGTGAGGACCACCACTTGCAGCATCTGTGCACCTGTTCGGCAGGGGCCTTAACTTCTGCGTCCTCAGGAGGAGTCATCATGCACTAAAAGCCACACTTACTGAGCCCCTAGCAGCTGCATTACCTCATTTCATCCTCACTAGTGTCCTAGAAGGTGAGAGAGAGCAGGTCCACACTGTCTTACTCAATATCCCAAAGTCAAGAAACCCCAAAAATGAAAGTTGTTTGTCCCTGCTTTGACCTGACAAGAAGCTCTTAGGTGTCGTTCTTTATCCCAGAAGGCCTAGGTGAGTTTGGTCAAGCATCACAGTTCCAAAACTCCACAGATAGATCCATAAATCGGGAAAAACTCGGAATTCCAAAATCTATCAGGCCTCAAGGATTCTGGGTTAAGGGTCTTGGGCCTGCTTTCCCGGACCGAGAGAAGAGGCTCCTCCTAGAAGTAACTTGGAGTCCCCAGCAAAGGCTGGTTTCTCTCACTCTACCCGCCCTGAAGAAACCTATGCATCCCACCTCACTCCCCGTGCCGAGTTCGAATCCCGCCCGGCATCTGGCGGGAGGGCGCAAATCAGCGGTGCCCCGCACCTGGGGGCTCGAGAGCGGGATGCGGCGCCGGGTCCCAAGCAGGGTCTGGGCGGGGAGAGCGTGGCGCGCGACCGACCGCGCGACCGGAGTGCTCTGCAAAGTTGGTCAAGGCAGGGGGGGGTCGGCACGCGCACCGCCGGGCCACAGGAGGGAGAGGAAACCCCGGCGCATCCCCAACACCCCCGTCTGGCGCCCCCTCCTCAACCCCCTCCCCACTCCGCAGCCCCCGCCAGCGCCACTGCTCCTGCACATGCGCACTGCAGCCCGCGATGTGGCAGCCGGGGAAGGGGGGGCCAGGGCCGGGGGCGGCTATCCACGGAGCCCCGCGCCCCTCGGGTCCCCAATGGACGCAGCGTCCTGGGTAACGCCTCGCATCCTCGGAGCCGGGGGAGGGGCGAGGCTCCGCGCCCAGGGCCCCGACGTGGCTGCGGTCCGGCCGCGGGGAGCGCGGGTGCGCGGAGGTGGGGGGCCGGCTCCCCCGGCCCGCTCACTCACCTCCGCCATGGCCGTGTGTGCGCGGGAGGCGGTGGCCGCACCGGGATCCCCGGATACGGAGTCGCGGGCTCATTGGCTGCGGCGCCTCGGGAGGCGGGGTCTTGGGAGGGCGTGGCCTGCGAGGGCGGGGCGCGGGCGGGGCGTAGTAGGTGCGCGGACGGGGTTGCGCGGTATGTGTGCGGGGGCGGGGCGGGCTCGCGAAGCCAGGGTCTGGGGTCTCTGCCTGGGCCTTGGTTTGGGGCGTGGAGGATGCTGTTAATAAAAACATTGATTCTTGGTAACAACACCTGTGAAAGGAGCTTTGGTCATATTTCCTCCTTCCAATAGCTTCGCTAAATACTGTGAGCACCCTTGTGCTACAGGTGAGGAAACTGAGGCCTAGAATAATGGGGCACCCAATGCATAAGTGGTGGTAGTGCCAGGACTGAAGTCGGTAGGTAGCGTGGTTCTGGAACTTTCTTCAGTTTTTCATCAGAGATGACCCATCCAGTGTTCCAAAGAACCGACTGGGGAGCTTGCAAGATGCACCGCAGGGCAAGTTTTGGGCACTACAACCCGATACCAAGGAGCGGGAGCGCTGACGGAGAGGATAGGAGGTGGATGCAAACCCACGGCCAGCCGTTTGGGTCTGAATTCATTATGGACCGTTTGCACGTCCGGAACCTGTGGGGAGAGTTTGAACAGGACAGTCCTGGGTTTGATACATTTTAAATTTCAGACTTACCAGTGCTGTGAGCATCGGGCAGAAGGTTTATGGAGACTGAGAGAGGAAGGTGGGAGGATGGAGGCAGTGAGTAGGCAGAGGCGCCCAGCAGGACTCATGTGGGGGCCGCAAGCAGAGAAGTGGAGAGAGCTGGGAAGGTGCACCCCACAAATCCCTGATGGAATGCAGGTGGAAAGGGCATGAAGTTGCACCAATGAGTGGTTGGTAGTTCCTACTGACCGGGGAAGAATGGAATTGGGATGATGGGGGACTCAAGAATCCCCATTCTGCTGAAACCGGTTTGGCTCAGTGGATAGAGCATCTGCTTGCAAACTGAGAAGTCCCGGGGTCCATTCCAGTCAAGGGCATGTACCTTGGCTACAGGCACATCCCCAGTGGGGGGGGGGGGGGGGTGCAAGAGGCAGCTGATCGATGTTTCTCTCTATCCCTCTCTCTCCCTTCGTCTCTGTAAAAAAAAATTAATAAAATATATTTAAAAAAGAAGAAAAAAAAAAGAATCCCCATTCGCTTCCCAGCTTTTTGCCAGCAGAATACTGCTGGACTCATGGTGACAAGATGCTCCTCTTCAACCAGTCTAGGGAGAAGACGAGGGGGCGCAGGCTGAGTTTGTTATGGAGTTCAGGCTGAGTCTGAGGTGCTTGTGGACACCCCAGGATGTTAGTTGGATAAGCAAGTCTGAACATAGACAGGGGGAAGTTGTGAAGTTGTGGGAAGCTGATGTGTGACATCTGAGAAACTCAAGACAGCGGGGAGGGGGGGGGAGGAGCGGGGAGGGAGTGATTTTGGAAATAAAGGACTGTACAAATCACAGGTAATGTGAACATAAATATTATTATTTTCCTCTTCTCATCCTTTTGGCCTTCCAGCTTGTCCCCCACCCCCTCCAGGCCAAAATTCTCAGAGCCAGCCACACATACAAGGTGTTTCACACTTGGGTGTTTACTGGGAATGAGGCCTCAGAGGCATGGCCTGGATCGGTCACACTTTTTTGGTGATGCTTTTGGGGGTGGCGAGCTCATATAGGCGAGGGGATGCCCGAGCCACTAGGGAAGCCCGGGAAATGTAGTAGGGGTCGTAGCCCTCATTGAGCTCCTTTCGCACTTTGGGCTTGGCCAGAAAGAGGGTCCGGGGACTGGCCACTGCCTTCTTGGTGACGTCCAGCACTTCCCAGCGTGGATCTCGGTCAAGGACACACTGGTCTGACAGGGCCTTGGGCACTAGAAGAACAGGAGAGAGTGACAACATCAGGCACTCCCTCAGGAAGAGCAACCTGCAAGGTCAAAGTTCCCAAGTTCAATGGCCTCTCCAGTGATGAAGGAATGGAAAAACACAACATGTCCCATCCACGCACTGGAATATCACTCAGCCATGAAAAGGAGTGAAGCGCTGGCAACTCCCTACAACCTGGATGGACCTTGCATACATGATGCTCGGTGAGAGAAGCCAGACACAAAAGGCCACACAGTGTGTGATTCCATCAATGTGAAATGCCCAGAACAGACACATCCATAAAGACAGGAAGTAGGTTAGTGGGTGCCAGGGGCTGGGGATGGGTGGAAAGTGACTGCTAATAGGGGGTTTCTCTTTGGGGTGATGAAAATGTTCTGAAATGTATTGGGGTGATGAGTACACAACTCTGAGTGTACTAAAAAGCATTGAAAGGTACACTTTCTTTTTTTATGGATATATAATGAATTACTTTATTTTTAAATATATATATTTTATTGATTTTTTTGCAGAGAGGAAGAGAGAGGGATAGAGAGTTAGAAACATCGATGAGAGAGAATCATCGATCAGCCGCCTCTTGCACACCCCCTACTGGGGATGTGCCCGCAACCAAGGTACATACCCTTGACCGGACTCGAACCCGGGACTTTTCAGTCCGCAACCTGATGCTCTATCCACTGAGCCAAACCAGTTTCGGCATGAATTACACTTTAAAAGGATAAATTGGCCCTAGCTGGTTTAGCTCAGTGGATAAAGCATCGGCCTGTGGACTGAAGGAACCCGGGTTTGATTCCCGGTCAGGGCACATGCCAGAGTTGCAGGCTCAACCCCGAGAAGGAGGCATGCTGGAGGCAGCTGATCAGTGATTCTCTCTGGTCACTGATGTTTTTATCTCTCTCACCCTCTCCCTTCCTCTCTGAAATCAATAAAACTATTTAAAAAATAAAAAGGATAAATTGTAAGGAAAAAATATATTTCAAATGGTCACATCCTGGACAGGGGACTCAAGGGGGCCAGCCAAAAGTGTCCTGTGGGCTCAGTAGGCCCTTTCACACTCTCTCTTCCCTCCTCTGATGTCATGGTGGGGAGAAGTGGCAAGTAATGGCTATGGGAGGCATCTCTCCTTGACTGGCCCTGCAGGCCTGCTGCATGGGTCCAAGGCAGCTCCTGGGTGCACAGGCCCTTTCAGGATTCAGTCTCCCACCTCCTTCTGGGTTCCTGTCCTCACTGCAGCCTCAGCCGGGCCCTCTCAGGAGTGCTGGCAACGTGGTTCCTACCAACCACATGTGGCAGCACCTCATATGGGCTGGAATTTTCTTCTATTTGGTTTTAATGAAAGCAATTCATTCATTTAGATCAACTGATTGATTTTAATTGCATTGAAGTAGCCACATGTGGCCAATGGCTGCTGTCATGACAGCTCTCGGGTGCAGAGACCTGAGTCTCGGCCAGGGTCCCTCCTCACCACCTCTCTGCCACCCTCTCCCTTAGGGACTAGAAGGGAGGTGATCTCCACGGGTCACTTAGCCTTCAGTGTCTGAAAGCCTCAGGATCGTTGTCTTTGAGGTGTACTGCAGCTTCCTTTCTCAACCCTTTGTTCAGAGCCAACGTGCAAATGGAAAAGGCCAGCTCCCTCCCTTCTCAGCAGCCAGGCCCTGCCTCAGTGGAGGGGCCCTTGTTGAAAGAGAGTGGGGTTCCTTCCCCCAGGCAGTCACAAGTCCACACAGGCCCACTGCTGGGCAAGGCCATCAAGGCTGCACCAGGGCCTTGCCGGGCAGATGACCATTCCTTCCAAAGGGAAGAGACCCAAGCAGTTGGGCCTCAGTGGCCCCTTGGGGGCTGGGAAGACCATGGCCAGAACCCAGACTTCCCTGAAATCCTGTGTGAGAATTCTGGAGTATTTCCACTGTTGTAATCTCTGGACTATTAAACGCTGTTGATGCAATCCGCCACCACACAGCACACATGTGGACACACAGAGAATAATGGATGCATACCCACACAGTGCATGCTCTTCGTTTGTCATCATTTCAGTTTTTTAAATGCTGGTCACACCCATTAGTGGGTGGAAGTTTGCTGTTTGAAAAGCACAACCCGACACATTCTTATACACACACACACACACACACACACACACACACACACACACGGTTGTGTATTTACAGGTACATCTGAAATATGGATCAATATATAGATGAACGTGTATGTATGAACGTGTATATATTTATATTCCAGGTGTATGTGAGAGAGAAACAAAATGGTCTGATGAATCAGTGCATATGTACTCATATGTTTTTGTTCATTTAGCCAATCATTTAATAAGTATTAAGGGAAAGGATAAATGAATGAATGAATGAATTAAACAAACAAACAAAATATCCTGCAAGCAGAGTTAAAAGAGATGGACTGGGGAGAAGGTATGTTGCAATGGGCTCAACAAAGGATTAGTGATCACCTTCTAGAAAAAGCTGCTCTAAATCAGTAACCGAAAACACAGGAAATAGAAAATTCGGGAGATGACAGAGCAGAGTAACCCAGAATGGCCAGTCACACTCCCTGGTGATTATCTGTCAGGAGTGAGGAACACACAGCATCTCCAAAGCCTCTGACATTGCAGGCCTGGCCTATAACAGACCACAGAGAATAAACAGACACTAACATATATTGTAAATATGTGTGCTAGAATGCAACAGATGCTACAGAAAAAGAGCTCAGAGCAGCCAAGTGTCCAGAGGTGGGCATATCTCCTGGGGTAAGCAGGGCGCTCAGAGGAGTCTCACCTAGAGGACATATTGGAGCTCCACCCCATGGGAGGCAGAGGAGTGAGCCAGGCAGGTATCTGTGGTCAGAGTTCTAGGCAGCGGGAGAGGAACCACATAGCTGGGGTGGGCAAGGGCAAAACAGATCCCAAGGGCCTGTGGGCCACACAGAGTGAAACAGGAGCCCCGGGAGGGCCGTGAGCAGAGAAGGGTGGAATCCAGCTTAAATTTAGCAAGACCTCTGTGACTGCCACATGGGAAATGGGCAAGAGTGGCACCAAGAATAAGGGTGGAGGCAA